AGTGGCTTTTCAAAACAAAACATGTACTTCTAAATGAAAGGAATTTAAATATTTAATAAGAAAATAATAATACTCCTTGCATTTGATATAGCGCTTTTCATGTCCGAAGGGAATCTCAAAACACTTTACAGGCTTTACTGTACAGTGTAGTGACTATATTTTGTAGGCTTAATTGATTCAAAAATTGAGATTGTCAGGTCACAGCAAACACTCAATCTAATCCTGAAGAGACTCAATCAAGTCTGTGGTGTTTTAAAACTAAAAATACCTCATGTCTTGGACTCAAACGGTAATAACTAAATTATGGGCCAGGGAGACCACAGATTTCACCTCTGCTCGACAGATCATGCCAATGGAAAACAATTATTTAAAGGGGGAAAATAAGACGATCATTGCTCCACACTGTGCAAATTTGCAATTAAAATCAACTCGCCTGAGATTAACTTGATGAGATAATACGGTAACTTCAGTCAGGAGAACCCAGTTGAGTGTGTGTGTTGGGGAGGGGGGTTTGCACTGCCACCCAGTGGCCACCTGGTATTTTAACACCAAACATCGTAAATTCCATTTCAAAACCAACACTGACCATAATCATAGATTCATAGAATGTTATGGCACAGAAGGAGGCCATTCGGCCCATCGAGTCTGTGCCGGCTCTTTGACAGAGCAAGTCACTTTCACTAACCCCAATCACCAGCTTTCTCCCCATAACCCCGCAAACCCGTCTTCCCCAGATACCTATCCAGTTCTCTCTTAAACGCTGTTATCGAATCGGACTTCACTACCCTTTCAGGCAGATCATTCCAAATTCGAACAACTCACTGAGTGAAAACATTTCTTCTAACCTCCCCTCTGCTTCTTTTGGTAGATATCTTAAGACTGTGACCACGAGTCACAGACACACCTACCAGCGGAAACAGCTTTTCCCTATCTCGCCTGTCGAAACCTTTCATAATAATAATCCTTGCATTTCATAAAGCATTGGGAGCATGTCTCAACTTGCTTCGCCTTACGAGTACATCCCAAAGCACTTCATAGGCCAAACTGTGATGTGGAGTGACTGTGTTTTGTGGGTGAACTTGAAGTGTTGAAACTCTGCAAAACTTACCCCAATGTGTTTTAGTTTTAAAAAACCAAAGACTGCTTTTGTTGCTTAAAAAAAATCTATCCTGTTTGGAATACAAAAAGATGGGTTTTAAATTTTCACCTTTTTTTGTTTTAATCCAAATGGGTTAAATAATAGCACTGCTATTTACATGTTAATTCAGAATTAAGTTATTTAAGATAGTTGTCAAAAGAAGCAGAGGGGAGATGAGGAGACATTTTTGATAGCAGATTCGATAACAACTTTTAAGAGACTAGATAATTATTTGGGAAGGACAAATTTGCAGGACTATGGGGAGAGAGCTGGGGAGTGGGATTGATTTGGGGAGCTCTTTTCAAAGAGCCGGCACAGAAGGGCCTCCTTCTGTGCTGTATAATTCTATGATTCTAAATTACCCTATTGTGTCTCTTATAGCTAACCTGGCAGCCCGTTAGCCTGAGAGAGAGCACAACGTGATAAATATTCATTTTTTAATAGACATGCTTCACCGTACAAAATACATAAAGAGTGCAAATCCCTGTACAGTTCAACACGTCTCGTTGGTTGATAACAGCAGGAGTGATTGTGGTTCTGGAGAAGTCTGTCCCACGCTTCGTAGAGGAAGCTTGAGAGTCAGTGGGAAGCAGAAAAAGGAAAATAAATAGATATCAAAGAGGAAAGTTTCGCTCAAATAAAATATGTTTGTAATTCACTAAGATGGGACAGTTGCAGAGCAAAGTTTGCCATTCGGGGAAAAAAAAATATTCTGAAAATATTGCCTTGAAGTATTAACAATTGAAAAATGCTTATTGAATATGTATTTTTGCATGATTGCCATTACAAGTAGTTTGCTCCATCTTCATTCTACGTTTGCCGATAGAAAATATACAGTACTTACATAATACTATTAAAAACTACACTTTACAGTGAATCCTGCAAAGTGCATTAAGATGCCTTTCCGATGTGAAAGAGGCTTTATCAAATGCAAGGATTATTATTATTACCTCCCATTTAGCTCTTCAGATCAATGAAATAGCAGTAGCGATTTCCTTCTTTTGTAAATAAGCAGAGGAACTCTCATTTCACATAGAATAAAGCAAAAAACATACAGCTCCCTTATCCCTCCCCGTGTAAAAAAAATATAACATTTGAACACTAAGAGTCTTCAGGGTACATTGACTAATACATTAATAACAGTTACATTTCTAACCCAAGGAAATTCAAGCACCATTGGAAAGTGGTGTAACGTTGTCTCACATCCAAGCTAAATATTTTTGCATCTGGAAACATTTATGTATCTTCAAGCACCACAGTCTTTTTGCAAGGAATTTTATAATCCACCACAATTCCTGTAATGTTAAACTGGATCTTCTGCAAAGTAGGTCATAATGGTCAGGAGACGGTGACAATTTTGAGAGAATAACTGTAAAAATGTTTTTAATCTTACAAAGTAACCACAATACATAATAATACTTCCTCGAAACAATGTTTTTCCCCCTAAGAATTGCTTTATGACATTGGTTGAGCACAGTTAAAAATGGATCACCTATAATTAAACAAAGTGCCTAACTTTAAAATAATAATCCTTGCATATAGCACCTTATCACGACTTCAAGACATCTCAAAACGCTTCACAGGAAATACTGTAAAGTGAATTGATTGTGTAGAAATGCGGCAGCCAATTGCGCACAGCAACGTCCCACAAACAGTCGTGAATTGACTGAACAATTTATTACTTTTTATCACAATGCCGAAACAGTAACTTAAAATAGGTTTTGAATGCTGAATTCATGTTTGATCAGTTGTTATCCATCTTTCTGTCTAGATACTTTGTACCAAAACATTTCATCCACCTTTAATGAAAATAATTTGCGGAAGGAGGACACAGATCTAGAATTGTCATTACAGTACACTGACGTGCATCAATTCAAAACCGCCTTCTGCAGGCTGCTTTCTCAAGTGGCACTAAAACGTGAATCCATGCAAAATCTCACGCGAGAACTGTTTTTCAGTGCACTTTCAGTCATGTCTACCAGCAAAATAATCAGCGGATTAGCAAAGGTTACAGTACTTCAAAGAGTATTTAGATTTACAAAGTGTACGTAAAGTGTTTTGACATCTGTTCATCAAACTGCGGTTTCACTGACCTCCTCCTCCATCCCCCAAAAAACTAATATTTCACTGATTCTAAAAATAAATACAATGACCTTCTATTTCTGCCCCAGAACAAAGCTATGCTGAATACAGGGAAAGTAACTGAATACTTGTTCTATCGTTTTCTCTCTCTTGTAAACAACATGAACATGACCTTTAGACAAACAAGAGATAAAATGCCTCCAAGTATTTTTGTACCCCATAAATATCCTTTCCATAAATATTATAATGGAATATGGAAGTTGTTTAAAAAAGACCATCAGTGACTCTCTGAAATCCATAATTCTGAATAAAATGATTCCCCTGAGCAACAGGAACAGAAAATAAAGTGCAATTAGAAAAGGCACATTAGAATTTTATACTTTATTTAACATATCAGCAAATTATATTCTATTAATTCTGGAGCTATCGCATACTTTTTCCTCTTGACAGAAAATGTTAAAATTATATTTGGCCGGATTCATCTTTTTCTAACCCTGGCAGTAATATCCTCTGACATTCACATCAGTGTAATCAGTGACTGAAAGGGCAGAATAGAGTGATGAAGGAGGGGCAAATGCAGATTTAGTGAAATTACCAATTTTTCCATAAATATCTTGAAAAAGGGCTATCAAGCTAAGGTTAATGTTACAATTAAAATTTTCCTCACCGCCCAAAAACACATACCATTCGACACAACCTCCCATTTTCGATCAATGGTCTTAAACCTAGTTCCAAAGCCTTTGAAATGCACATGCTGAAATATGCTTTCTGGCATTAAAGATTATTGGTAACAAGCCAAAGAGAAGCTCAAGAACATAGCAGCTTAAACTTGTATATCACATTATCAGGTGTATACTCAAAATGGTCAATACCCTGATAAGATGTTCAATACATATTTACACGATTTACTGTGAAGTGTACTGACTGTACATTGTAAGTGAATTAAATCACTCAATAAAATTGAGCTAGTGCGGCACAGACTAAGTTTCACCAATTAACGTACGTATAGTAATCGGTGAAATAACTCTACAGAACTGCTTTGACACGTATTGAAGATCACAGCAATAAAACAGAAAGAGACAAAGGAGAAGGATTAATAAAACTCTTGAAACAGGTCGAGCTTTCACTTGATCTTTCAGGGACTGTGAGCTTATAACTTGGAGGAGTACGCTGTTGTCAGGGCATTTAGTGAGGGAGCCACAAACAATGTGCAATGTCCAAGGTCATGGTAAAAACAGACAGCATTGTGGCTGAGGGAACTGGTGAGCTTGTCAGTCCGAGAACTGTTTTTTTGTAGAAGCCAATAATACATTTCTTACAACAGTGACAAAAGAAAGACACTCAGTTGTTACAGAATGAGGTTCATAACAAGATAGAAGTTTAGAAGTAAGAGTCCCCATACTATGCACAAACTGGCTGTGGTCCAAACATGCTTTCCTGGTTCCCAGAACAGTTCCTTATGAATGTGAACAACAAGCCAATAAAAACTCCCAAACATACAGTTTTAATAACTAGCAATAACAACAATTCTCTTTCATTACAACAATAAAGTTAAAATTGCTGCATAATTGACTGTAGAAATTGGAAAGTAAAATTAATATTGACTCCTGGAAGTTGTCTGTTGTCTTTTGGGAATACGTACGACAGGTTTATTAACTGTTCTGCGCTGGGGAGAATTAACCTCTGCTAGTATGCTGCTGAAATGAGAACATTCTTACACAATTTTTTTAGCGCTTTTTCTAAAAAAAATGTGTTCTACTTTACCGTATACACCCTACAGGATTCATCTGAAAGGCTACAGTGGGACAGCAGGCAAGATAAGCAGCATCAGCCAACTAGGAAATGATTTTAGTACAAAGGATTCAGACAACGACAAATGTATTTGCAGATGCTCACAAATGACATCAGGAGGTAAGAGAGGAAATGCATTACATTTTACCTTTGGTTTTCTAGAGGCAACACACTGGATATCACTGAACTCCCTAACTTTCTGACCTGCTTTCTCCCCAGTCCACTACCTCTGCTCGGCTGGCTCTGGCCTCCTGCTTATCCATTGTCCCCTCCCTTCCACCATTGGCGGACATACTATCAGCCGTGATGCACCGAAGCTTTGGAACTCACTCCCTCAATACCTCTGCCTTGCCCCCATGTTCTCCCTCTTTTAGATGACAATAATAATAATCTTTGCCTTTGGTACAGCACCTGATCAGGTTTTCGAGATGTCTCAAAGCTCTTCACAGAAGATACTGTAAAGTGAATTGACTGTACAAACAGTCGTGGATTGACTGACCAATTTATGATGACTGAAGACCTTCCTCTTTGACCATTCTTACTGTCACCTCCTTCCTTCCCCCGGCTTGATGTTAGGCTCCGCCACCGTTAAGCGCTCCGAGATGCTGCCCCTCGTAAAGGCCGCTATATAAACACAAGTTGCTTTTATGTCTGCGCAGTGCTGATGATAAGCAAGGATGCAGTGAAGGATTGAAGCCTTTTTACACACAATCTAAAATGTTTTTCATTTGTTGTGCAGTTCTAATCTTGTTATTGTCTGTGCAAGGTTTTGTGCAATTCTGTATTTGTTTCTATACACTTTTCTCGTGTGTACAGAAAGAGACAAAAACCATTTGAGACATGCATATGTCTATATTTCCTTTACTTTTCCTATGATTAACAAGGTAATTTTGAAGAAAATCTAGTTCTGTGCACACAATGAGGTCACAAAAAATATTTGTTTGCGAACCGCTGATCTAGGCTGACATACCAATGCAGTGCTGGGGATGTTCTGCATTGGCGTCCTTCAGATGAGATGTTAAACAAGGGCCCCATCTCCCTGTTCCTACACAGACTTAATTAGTAAAAGCTATTTATGGCTTAAATTTGGCAGAATGCAAAGATTTTCACAGCAGGATAAATAAGATGATGAATTATTGTCATATGCCTATAATAATCTACGCAGATGCATTATTTTTTCTCTGTGAGAAAACCAAGGGAGCCATAGAAAAATGTGGTTATCAGTTTTCCACACGCATCAAAATTCTTTCGAAACCTCATTTGCAAATGTACAAGTCACAATTTCTAATTAAAAAAAAGTGAATGTGAGAAAATTTATGGATTCTTTGACCGTTCCTATAGAAAATGCCATAAATCACTTCAAAGAATGAAAAATACATGAATACTTATCAGGGGAAATGCACATATGGAGATCTTGCTGCAGTTCTGTTACATAAATTGGTAGCAATTAAACAAAGTTGCATAACATGAGCTTCATAAGGTTTACCTTTCCAACTGAAGGTGGGAATTGATCGTATGATATGCAACTCTTCATCATATTAAAGCTAAATTGATTTGAACCAAACGTACGGAGGAACAAATTAACCCACGTGTTTGTCCTATCTGGTCAAATTCTTATGTCTCACACATCACAATTTTAAGTGATGTAATAAATAATAATCCTTGCAATTTATTATTATTAAATGATGTACAGATAAAACAAATTAAATTCAATAGGATTTTCAGAAAAATTATTCATCGAGTTCAAGATCCTTGTCCTCACCTTTAAATCAAACCCACTTGCTCCCTTTTGACAAACCCACTTGCTCCTTTTGCTCAGTGGGCACCATCATTTTCACATACCCCACCCCTACCTGCCCCACTGTCGATGGTCGGGCTGACAGCTTAGCTGCCTCACTCTCTGGAACTCCATCTGAAGTCCCTTCAACTTGCCCCTTCCCTCGCTTCCTTCAAGGTCCTTCTTAGGACCGCCCTTTTGATCGCTTTTGTATCGTCTTTTGTATTGAGGCACTCCATCAAATGCAAGCAGTTTACTCTACATTATTCTGTGAGCTGCATTTCAACTGATTTCTAGAGGAAAAAGTAGCACCTGCTGGACATGTCTGTCATTTACTCTAATTTGATCTTGCTTCTTGTTTCATTTACCCGCAGGATGGTGGTTTGATGCGTGCGGTCCATCCAACCTGAATGGTCTGTACTATTCATTGGGACAGAATACAAACAGATTCAATGGCATCAAATGGTACTACTGGAAAGGGTCAGGATACTCTCTTAAAGGCTCTACCATGATGATCAGACCTGCAGATTTCTGATCACAGATTATCAAACATGGATTGTTTTCGTCAGCCTTTTTGATATATAAAGACATTTTTTCAGCAAATCCATAAAGTTACAATTACTATTATATTTATAAAGTTGACTAACATATAAACAATGCATTAGTATTTTAAGGTGTCAGTTTAAAAGGAAGAAAAGCTGATTTAATGTTGGGAACCAATGAACAAGCTTGTAAATTACTGAAATGTGCTTTGCATCCATTTTTAATCATAGTCCACTCACATTTGGAGAAGCTTCTTTGATCAGTAGACCAACACTGGCAATACTAAAATGTTGAATCCCTTGAAGAATAGGTTCTTTGTTTTAACTTAAAGGAATTGCTAATTATGGTCATCTGGGGAATGTAGACTTTCATAGTTTGTGAATGCGTAATGTAAACTTGAGCAGTGCCCATCACTTTGATTTCAGGAGACTATTCTTCAGCCAATCATCGATCTTCAAAGGAAAAGAAAAACTGGAACTGTGAATGATTATGATGTAACACTATTAAAAAGTACCACACACTGTAAAAAGAAAATGTAATATTTACTTCAAAATAACACTATGTTGTATCTGAGCTTTTGCGATCTTGCAACCCAGCTTTCCTCTCACAGAACACGCTGCATCGCATAACGAATACTACACAAAGTTGATAGAACTTGGGTTTGATAACTTAAGTACAGCAGAACCATGTTTCATTGTAACGTGAGTTCAGTTGGGATATAGTTACCCAACTTACTTACCCCAAAATAATAATCCTTACATTTGATATAGAGCTTCATCACGTCGGGCGTTGAGTCGTCTCAAAGCGCTTCACAGAATATACTGTAAAGTGGATTGACTGTGTATTTTTGTGGGTGAAACCCGGCAGTCAATTCTGTGCAGCAAAATCCTAAAATGCAGGCGTCAGTCCATCAAACCAAACTGCCAATGGAGCTGGCTGTCTTTCTGTGCACGTTCACAATGAATGGGAAAGCACCGACTGGTAATATGCCCAGTTATAGCATTGGTTGGGATTTTATGGACCCCCCTAACTACCTGTGTTATAGCAGGGCTCCAATCTTTGGGAAATTGTAAACAATACCTGCCACTTATCAACACTGATCTGAATCTTGGATGACCTATTGTAGGTTTGAGTTTCCTAAATCATTAGAAGAAGTTTAGCCTTCAAACGCAATTAGGATTTACTGTCACCACAGAAATAAGAACTAAACCCAAAGGATATAGTTCTTATGCCATCTTAAGTCATAAATGATGCCATTTTGATCTGGTGATCTCCCCACATTCCTCTGAATTTAAGACTTTGCTGTGAGCTGAATCCTGAGTTTTTTGACTGGAGGAGATATCAAATATCTTCAATGGAAACTCGAGCGATGCAGCATAAAAATGTATGTTTAAGAGCTATGGAGAGAAAAATCAGTGCTTTGATTAGGCTTTGTAGTTGTGGGCTAAACTTTCTTCAAAGAAAGAAACTATACCTATTGCAACATTCCTCCTTATTTATTCAATTTGCAGATACAATTAGGATTATCATCACTGCACTAAAGAGAACGGTGGTGGGCCTCCAAAAGCTTCAACGTTCAGACCAACTTGAACATTGTGTTAAAGAGCTCGTCATCTTGCATGGTCAGATCAAAGCAACGACGCTTGGTAAAATCCAAGTTGAACTAGGTAGTTGCTTTGCCGATTGAATCAAAAGAAACTAAGCCTAAACTTTGTTTAACAACAACAAATGAAATTTATATAGTAATAAATTTAAGTGATAGGAAACAAACTGTTGCCTGATTGTGTGAGCATTCTTGGTTTGTCTGTATTGAAAACTGAAGTTCTACAATTATAGTTCCCTCCAATGGAAGATATGTACGCATATAAGATTAGCACTACAGGTGATCTATGAGGAACAACCAAATAAACAAGGGCTCTTCAGCCTTGAAAAGAGACATCTTAGACTCTGTAGAATCATTTTAAGAGTCTAATAAGTGTTGAAATGTAAATCCAGAAAAGTATTTTCAGTTATACTAAGTCAGCAGGACAAGAGGGCAGGTAAAGATAAATGCTATAAAGGACAATATTAGGACAGATACTAGCAAGCTTTTGTAAAATTAAATTAGTGCATTCCAAGGTTCATTGATGTGCCAGAAAGACAGGTTAAATGTCACCAGTGCCTGAAGTACTGATAATATACTTGTCTCAGCAATTGGATCCTTGAGGCCACAACAGAAAATAGGCACAGCTTTGTTCTCCCTTCACCAGGTGCATCATACATGGCATAAACTCAATCCCCAACTCCTGTCTTACATGCTCTTCCCTGATGGGCTGAATAGCCTCCTCCTGTTCTGCAATGTTTATAAAGGCGTGTGTGTACTTTTCTTGTAAATAAAACATGTATAATAACTTCAGGCTTGCGTTTCACTTGGATTCCTCCCAAAGCATTGTAGGATGAAGCACACCACAATTTTATTTACGTTATGATCAAAATAGAAGTCCAGTTTACCGAGCTGCAGGCCTGAGCTGGATATGACTGACCTAACGTACAATGCTTCAAATCATCATCAACGTCAGAATTACCAGATCTATTAAAAAAAAATCTTCTCATTTTTAGAACTGCTTAACTAAAAGGTCTCATAAGATTTTGTTTCTGTATGATGAAATTGAAATTGTGTTAATTGTCATCAGGGATAATTAATAATAATAATCCTTGCATTTGATATAACTCCTTCTCACGTCTTTGAGACATCCTAAAGTGCTTCTGCACTGCCATGTCATAGGTTCCAATTTTTACCTTAGTCTTGTTTCAAAAACACAGGGTCAAAAGCATGGAGGTAGTGCTGAGTCTCTGCAAGACGTGGGTGTGGATGGAACTGGAATGTTTGCTGTTCTGAACGCTTCATTATTGAAGACACATCAGAGCAATGCCAGAATCCATGTTAAACATTAACTAGGATGATTTCAGGGTTGAGAAAATATATTTATGAAAGACATACTTAAAAAATTGGATCCCATAAATGTGACCAAAACTCAGTAGAAGCATAAAAGGGGTGGGTAGATTTTTTCTGACAGTGAAGATTAAAGCTATTAAACTAATAATAATCCTTACATTTAATATAACGCCTTTCGCGTCAGGAAGACATCTCAAAGCACTTTACAGGATATGCTGTTAAAGTGTGTGTTTTGTGCGTAAATGCGGCACAACAATGTCCCACAGCCATGAAGTCAATGACCAAGTTTATTTTATTTGGTCATATATGGGTGTGTGGAGAGCAGGGGAGCTGTGTTGGAGTCAGTACCTGAAGTGGGGAATCCTGAAATATCCAGGTTTCTCAGTAATCCAAAAAGTACTTTACTGTGCTGTGCGCAAGACCCTTAATATACTGTAATAATGTGGACAATATTTTTCTAACCTTGAGAGAATTCAATTCAAATCAAAAAAGGAGGCAGACAAGTCAGTGCAAACAAGCCCAGTCCAATGTAGTGCTGGGTAACCACAATTTGTCATTATAAAGAAGGACCTTATGTAGATTTAGATTTTATGCTTAATTGCTGAACATAAACATTGGTGCAAATAGTAACGTCATAAGGAATTTCAGTTAATACACTGCCGAAGATCAAACAACTAATCTTAAGTATTTTACCCATCTGCAAACAATTGCTTAAAACACTACTCCTGTCAACGCTTTCGACAAAGCCCATTAATATTCCAGATTAATGTTGCACAGAAATAGCACATTAAATTTAGCAAATGAAGGGGCTGTCAACAGATAATAAAGGAACTTGACTTACAGCAGCTGCAGGAAACTTGTCTGAAAGTTCATATTGTTCTTCAGGAACCCAGCACCCATGCTCTAGGGACCAAAGAATCTAGAAAAGATCAGACAGGTTCACTAAACACAGTCAACTGAAAATAATAATAAAGATTAATATAATGGAATATGCAAGTTCCACGAGTAGAAATTAGAATATCTCAAGGATTCAAAAAGTTGCGCAAAATAGTATTCCCAGTTCCTTTCCTGGAAAGTTATGGCTTGCATTTATATAGTGATCTTCACAAGGGGTAGCATGAATTAAACAACTGAGCATTTTCAATATTAACACTCAAATGTTGTGCTTTGTGTAGTTATCCTTAAGTGATCCTGAAACAAGGAATTATGTAATTTTTGTTTTCACAAAAGGAGTTAGGATGCACGTATTGATGTAAACTGAGGGGCTCTGTGATTTAGCTCTAAATTTAGTTACACATCCATGTTTTTTCAGTGTAAAAGGCACTGTTGAAATACTGCACGCTTTCAAAATTGTTATCACAGCAACTTTACTCAGGGAGTCCTTATGTTTTCATTGTGAATGAAAACGTTGCCACTTATTCAGCAGCCGTCTCTGAATGTGCTGTAGCTTCAAGCTCTCAACTCCCAAGACAGCGTTTTCTTGCTATGATATGGGTATCTACTCTGCACCATATGCAACCACACATGTACAGAGGAAATTACAGGTCCACTTCATGATATAATTCACCATTGAAAACGATTGAATAGAAGATAAATGAACTGCGTATGCACCAGTCAGTGCATGTGCAGAACAAATCTAATTTTGCATGTGTGCGAAGGGTATACCTGTGAAGCTTCAAGCAGGTGAACAAGGTAAATGAACATTTTTATAGTGCTTCAGCGACTCCTCACCTCCGCCCTGACCCCACTCCTGCTCCGAACCCCACTCCCGCCCCTTGACCCCCGCCCCACCCAACTCCACCCCTGCCCTGAACCTGCCCCAACCCCGCCCCCACCTCGTGGGATTGAATTGGATAGCTCCTTTCAAAGTGCCGGCACAGATGCAATGGGCCGAATGGCCTCCTTCTGTTCTGTATGATTCTATGATATACATACAGGAGGTTTAGTGATGCTACACGTCAATTGTAAGATTAGAAAACTAAGTGGAGGAAATGTATATTTTTGACATTTGATTTTCTAGTTCTTTGAAATCAATGTACCTTAAATTTTTAACAAAATCTGTATTTGCTACAGTATAACGAGCTATAATAAAGCAATGTAATAGTTTACATATGGGAAACAAATCTGAAACTTTCACTGGCATATATTTGCTTACTTATTTGTGTTTCGTAAATATTAAAATAATTTTTCTTTTAAATTAACAATACTGCTGGGTTTACTGGATTTATCACAGGTTCTTGCAGGCACAAATGTAAAATATCAGTTTCACTTTGATGCACAATTGTGCTCAGATTTTTGTAGAGCGTGCTCAATATTTTTTAAATAAAAAGCACTTAAAGGGGAAAATATCCAGAGTGATCTGTGGCAGGCACTGCACAGCTGAATAAGCTGTATTAAGGAAATGTAGAGCAACAAAATTGCAGAACCCCTACAGGACCCATAAAATGCAATAATAACATGCTGGAAGTGTTTTTGTTGGCTGCTGGCAATCTATTATCTACCCCACACTTCATGTGAACTAAGTAAATCTACAGGAAAAAAAAGGGAAACTAAACCGATGAGTCTCCAAACAAATCTTTTCATCATCTTGGGCCTTCTAGAGCAGTAAAATACTTTGTAACTTATTCAATTTCCTCATCCAAACAGTAGTCCCCTTTATCTACCCTCAGAATATATAATATTAGCATTAAAATTAAACAATCTAAAGAAATTCCTTGATCCGGAGTTCGTAAGGATTGCTCGATTTCGTTAAGAGCTATACACATACCTCACATGCACATGAATAAACAGTGACTTGGAACAATGCATAAATTGTACAGGACCCCATCTGTTGCTCTGTTTGGTGGATTTGTGTTTAGTCTACTTCTGTGCTTCATTTCAGTTACCAGAAGGTCAAGAAACAGGCTGAGTTGTTAAGATGATGTAGAGATTGCCATTTTATGTTTTTTTTGTATTCCTCAAATACAACATTTACAATGTGCTTTTGTTTTACAATTTTGTAATCCTTAAGATTACATTACAATATAAGTTTACAATTTATTTAGCGACTTTCGTGTTGGGAGGATGACTCAAGGCGCTTAACGATCCTTGCTTGGCACCCACCCCGGGGTGGGAGCTGAAAGAGTGGGAAGGCAAACGAGTGAGCAAGTCAGAGGGACTCAGGGATAGACTCTGAGTTAAAGATTACAATAATGTGCCGTGCAAGAGCAGAATGATTACTAGATTTCTTTCTAAAATTGTACTATGTTTAAAACCATGCCACCTTTTGCCAACTTCAGTACCCGCTGTCAAATGACATATTTCCTCTGGAATTATGGTGCAGATCTTTTAGCACACAAATCAACTGTTGTGTATTATATCTTCTAGTTAAGGTTAATTAATGATTAATCTGTAATAGTTTGTACGTTTAATTTGGAAGTGGAGATGGGCAGGGCTTGTAACTAATTAACAATAATCTGTGCATTTGATAATATGGAAATGTCATGGAAATGTCTCAAAGTTCTTCACAGTGTTTTCTTTTGTTTGGTCTGACTCCCGTCACCAAATTTAAGTGTATTCTCAAAGAGCTTCACAGAATATACTGTAAATTGGATTGACTGTATATTGTGTGGGCATAATGTACTGGTCTTAGACGTAGAGGACAACTGTTTAAGAGCTGTACTGAAATAAAAAACTGGGCCCACCTTTTACACAATAACTCAAATAAAAGGCAATCAGTTTAGCATTATACAGGAACATAGGAATGCACAGGAGCCAAAGGCCATTGTGGTCCATCTAGCCATCTGTTTAAATTGAACCCTACAGGGGAGAGATTCCACACCGGCATAAATTTATTCTATTTAGAGCTTGGAGATTGTTGCAAATTGTTTAATTCGGTCTTAAGTTTTATTCACAAAATACAGGCAATTCACGTTACAGTATATTCTGTGAAGTGCTTTGAGACATCTCAATTACCTGATAAGGCGCTATATCAAATGCAAGGATTATTATTATTAATAACATTGAAACTGTGTTACCAAATAGAGTCCCGAAATTCCAAACTTTTTATTTGTTACAATTTCAAAGGTGCAGGAGTTTGGCAAATCTTAAATTTAGTCTTCATTTTGAAGGGGCTTTTATGCAGCTTTTGTGGGGGGGGGGGGGGTTAAGAATTGTATAAAATTAGCTCTGAAATTTATGGGAAAATAGTTCAAGCCTTACACAAGGTGGAATTCCAGGCCCAGTGTGCTAAATGTTGGGTGAAATTGGTTATTGAGAAAATTACACAATAGAGGCCAGGTGCAAGAAAGGGAATGAAAACTGTGTGTGTGCTTGCAGGAAGAGGGGGAGGGATGAGTGGAGGTGGTAACCTTGACTCTGCAGAGCAACCTGTTGAGAAGTTATGAAGTGAAGGGCTATGGGACCTAGCCCTTCACTTCATACTCCAGTTATACATACACTGCTTTAATCAGGCCTCATCTAGAGTACTGTTGACTTGCTGTGACGTAAGGGGGCTGTCCAGGCACTGAAGGCAGTGCAGAGGATAGCCATTAGGATGATGCCCATGGTTAAAGGAATGAGCTATGAGCACCGATTCGATAAGATGGGGCTATTCAGTCTTGAAAGGAGACTTAATCGTATCCAGTTACAGTATTTATTTGGTGTATAGAAAAGTTTGCAATATGAAGCTGTGGATTTAATCCCTTGGAGTATGTCATCTAGAACAAATCATACTCGACTCAACTTTCACTGTGGTCCTATGAAAACTCTCTCAGGCAGCCCAAGACCTTTCAACAGATTCTTTTTAATGTTACAGTATTGAAGGCATTTTGTTCAATGGGGTGCTTAGTAAAAAGAAAAAAACTCTGGCTTCCAATCTCATCACTGCACTGATGGGAGTGAAGTGGCCTTGCTCGCAGCCGTAAACACAGTATTAATGTTCATGTCACCAGTTTTTACTCTAATTCAAGATCTATGTTTATGTTTTACTGTTGAACACAGTTTGCTTCTGGAAAGATTCGATTTCATAAAGGCAGAAAAATTGGCTGTCAATAGAGGTGCTGCTGTTTCCATAACTCTCCTGGGGGAATATCAGTGTTAGTTGGTGAAGTGTGTCAGAAGACCATCTTTTCCTTTCGTTCATGTCTTGCATTTTAACAACAGTTCCTTTAGTAGCTCATTCTGTTGGCTGGATTAATGCTCAAAAAATGCATGAAAGTTTTTGTTATAAGTTTTTGTATAACATCCCTGGAACCACTGCATTTCACTGGGATTTTTCTATGCTCAAATAAAAATTAGTTTACACTTTTAGGTTGCAATCATTAATGTGACAAAAAAGCATTCATTCCGGCTTATGACAGAAATACACTTCATTTGGTTAACATCATTTTATGGCTTCCAATCGGTCTGGTATTTTATATTACATAATTCTGAGTTATAAACGCAATTTCTTAATAACAGCAGTATTTTCAGTGCCACTCTCTCATGAGTATTTGAAAATGAGTTTTCCAGAGACAGACTGTGAAATATCATAAAATTGATCAAAGAGGAAAAATAAGGAAAATCTAATGAACAATAATTCATACTTATGTAGTTCTGATTCATATCCATTGAGCTTCTAAAAGCAGAATGAAGACTTAAGATAGGGGTGGAAGACTGAGGAAGGTTGGGGGTGGGCGGTGGGGTGGAGGAAAGGGAAGAGATGACCGAAAGTGTAGTTGAAAGGATAGATGGGCTGCAAAGGTGGGGATGAAGTGGGTGAGACAGAGGGACTTCAGTATGAAGTTCTAGAAAGCAGGTGCAGAATGGTTAATGGTGTTCAGGTTATCAGCAGTTATCCAACTTTAAAATTAAACAAACACTACTTCTAGGAAGCGTACCAGCTGGGTAGTTATTCGTCTATGAAAAGAGACTGCATCACAGTGTGCATCATAGACAGACCAGAATTCACCTTGATTGAAGGGTTTTAGGTATGATGAGAGATTAACCATATCAGGATTATTTTCCTTCGAGCAGAGGAGCTTTAGGGATTATTAGATTGAGACATTTAAAATAATACAGCAAATTGACATGTTAGAGAATGGACGACTGTCCAATTTGGTGGAGGGACCTATTGTAGACTTACAAGCAGAATCAAGATAGCTCGAACTCAGGAACTGAGGAAACATTTCATGTAGAGGTTTGTGAAGATGTGGAATGGTCTGCCCTAGAAAACTGCAGAGGCTGAATGTTTGGGGACGTTTAAGAGAGAAACTCTAGATAGTTGAGTAGTAGAGGTATTGAGGGATTGGCGAAACAATGGGACTTTGGGATTAAAAGACCTGACAAGATCTAACAAACTAATGCAACAGACTTGATGCACACTTAACTGAATGTCCTCTTCCTGTTTTCCTACATTCCTAATAATTTGCAAATTGCAAACCAATTCAGTGGCCAAGATTTGGAAAGGAAGAGCACCAGTAGCTTGGATGCCCCATTGCAATAATTACACTTCTTGTGTTTCTTCGATCTGCCTCCAAGATGAACTTACCCAGTCAAAGGACAGAATCCAGCATCCCCGAGCGATTCCAAGCAGAATGTTAATGGTACGACATGGTTGTCCAGCTACTACATGGGTTGTTGTTTCACACACAACGTCTGAGAACAGAAATCCACCTAGCTGTCCCAGAATTTGAATTATAATCATTTGTTTCCTGTTCAAGAAAACGTGCAGAATTGAGCAACAAATAATTTTTTATACTACTTGCAGAATTTTCAGTTTAGCTTACAACAGTCGGACTCTATACGAATGATCACAAAGCAAACAGGATTACTGTAATTCCAAACATTAAAAACAACCACTTAATGTTCAGAAAGCACACTTAGCAAATATCATAGGAAGTTATACAATGCGGCACAGAGCACTACATTTTAAAAGAAACAGGGCTTCCCATTTGGTAAATACATCACTTGTGTGCAAAGTGATTTTGGATTGAGGTAATAATAATAATCGTTGCATTTGATATAGCGCCTTATCACGTCATTGAGACATCTGAAAGCATTTCACAGAAAATACTGTAAAGTGTATTTGTGGGGGGCAAACTGCGCACAGCCATCTCCACCTTCACCACCAACCCTTCTCAGCTCCTCCCACCCCCTTAGCTTCCCCCCCACCCCACCACTTGTCTCGGCTCCCTCCCCCCCACCACCTTCCAAAGCTGTGTGAAGTGCTTTGATGTGAAGACTGCTGTATAATTATAAATGGCACTGTACTGCATTGTTCTTAGAAAAGGTTTAGGGAATCAAAATGTAATAAAAGGAATCCAACACTTACTCTGAAGGCATGCTTGTCATGACCAGCGTTCGGGTTGGCTAAAGGAATTTTTTTTAAAAAAATTAAAAATTATACAGTCATCAAGAATAATTAAAATTCCATCAAGCATTTGGCAAGAAAAAGAATTACTGATTATTGTCCAATAGTAACATTTAATATTTATACATAGAAATATATTAAATTCAGTCAGGTACCTAACTTCATACCATAAATGCAAACAATTTCTATTATTGTCAATTTCTTTTTGACGTGATAAAAAAATCTACTGTAGATAACACATAAATCTAAAACTATAGTCTATTCATCAAGTACAGAAAGACACAGCACAGTTGCTCGTTCTCTGTTTAAGATGTACATTAGTTAGGCCATACTTGCCTAAACCCAAGCTCAGTGCAGAGGAAAGCAACATTATCCTGGTAATAATACAACAAAATTACATTTGTATAGCGACTTTCACATCGGGAGGACGCCCCAAGGCGCTAGACAGTCAGTGTTTCGGACCTGAGCTGGAGGTCGGGACTGGGGAGGGAAGCAGGGTTGTCGAAAGCACGGTCGAAAAGGAGGGTCTTGAAGGAGGCAAGGGAGGGGGTGAAGCAGAGGGCCTATGGGATGGAGTTCCAGAGGGTGGGGGCAGAGTGTCAGAAGGCCCGCCTGCCAATGGTGGGGCGGGCGAGGCGGGGGGACATGAAGCAGGCCGGAGCCCGCTGAGCAGAGGGAGCAGGCAGAGTGGTAGGGGCTTAGGAGATGGTAGAGGTAGGGGAGCAAGGCCATAGAGGGCTTTGAAGGTGAGGATCAGGATTTTGAGCTGTATCCTCTGAGTGATGAGAAGCCACTGGAGTCGGGCGAGAATGGAGGTGATAGAGTCACGGAGCCTGGTGCGGGAGAGGACAATAATCTTTGTATATAATAAATAATATTAATAAGGGATAACCAAGACATAAGATCAGAGTCCAGCCTTGAAAATGGAGATAACTTTATAGAGATATATATACATATATATACATATACACATATATTTACATACACACACATCTTCTATTTTATATATATTATATACTAATAAAACGATGATGTCTGCGCTTCAAGAAGGATCTCAATAACCGATTGACGTAGAGACATGATTTATACCTCAGCGGAAAGGTTTTGCATTTGGGAGTGACATGGGCATATTAGTTTTCGGGTATCTTCTATCGTTCATGAGTTATGACCTAAAATGTATTTCAGTTTTACGTTTTTCGCTGCAGTTACAGCAAAATAAAGAACACAGACAAGGCTAAGCCAAGGCAACAACAACAAAATTACATTTTTAAAGCACCTTTCAAGTTGGGAAGACGTCCCAGTGATTATAAATCATACATTTATATTTATCATTATAAAGATGCCTAAGCGAAAATCAAACCTTTCAAGGATAAGGAATAATGCTAGACCAAACAGAGACGGCCCATTAAATATATATATATATATATATATATATATATGGAGTCCTGTAGCTCAGTGGTTAGAGCACTCGCCTTGCAAGCGAGACACCTGGGTTCAATTCCAGGCAGGGTGAAACCTTGGGCAAGTTTCCTTACTCCACACGCCTAATAATACTCCCTCCAAAACAAAAAACAATAATAAATTGGTCACTTTCAATCCACAACTGTTTGTGGGACACTGCTGTGCGCAATTGTCTGCTGTGTTTCGCCCACAAATATGCAGTCAATTCACTTTACAGCATATTCTGTGAAGCGCTTTGAGACATCGAGAAGATGTGAAAGCGCTATAATAATAATCCTTGCATTTGATATAGCGCTTTTCACGTCGGGAGGACGTCCCAAAGCGCTTCACAGAACACACTGTAAAGTGAATTGACTGTATATTTGTGAGGGAAACGCGGCAGCCAATTGCGCACAGCAATGTCCCACAAACAGTCGTAGATTGAAAATGACCAATTGTATTATTGTTTTTGGAGGGATATTATTAGGTGTGTGGAGTAAGAAAACTTGCCCAAGGTTTCGCCCCCTGCCTGGAATTGAACTCAGGTGTCTTGCTTGCAAAGCGAGTGCTCTAACCACTGAGCTACAGGACTCCTCCGCTATATCAAATGTAAGCATTATTATTATTATTATTATATATGTATATAAAAAAATAAAATGCTGAATGGGATAAAGTAAACCCAGAATAATACTTTCAGATATGTTAAGGCAACAGAATAAAATGGCAACAGTTTAGGGTGATGAACAGCAATTTTAAGACAGACACCAGGAAGTATTTTGTCAGATAGTGGGAATAGCTGAAACCACAAGCAAAGATGACAGAGGCTAGGATGCTGAATTCATTCAGGATGAAATTAAAGTTTGATGCTCGAAGGTTCAGATCAATAAGCCAATGGGATTTCTTCATCCATACCTCTCTCGTGATCTATTGCAAACACTAGGAGGTAAACAGCAGCCAGAATTCCTGTCCTCTGATTTTAATGATGAATGCCCTTTGACCACCCAATCTCATCCTTCCAGAACACTCACTCTCTCCAAGGACAGTAAGAGACCTCGCTGTCCTTGGAAAGACAAGAACAGCCAGAGTGCCCTTTGCCCCCTCTCAGTGCAGTAGGGCAGTGTCCAAACTAAAGTTAGTGTCCACTACAACACCTAGATATCGATAAGAATCAACAATGTAGCTTCCAATCAATACTTCTCTGCCCCCTCTCGAGCTACCAAGCCATTGAGCTGATCAAATTCGATAAATAACCAAAAAGTAGGTTTAATGAACATTTTAATTGGCATTTAATGCATCTTTGTTAATGCTGAACATTGCATTCAACCATATGATTTCTGGGTATAGAAGCAGCAAATCTATCTGTCAATTTGTGGGTTCTTTATTAAATGAGAAAAGACACTTTATACATTATTTCTAGCATTAGAGGTTTTAGATGAATCAATTTCATTCATTTAGTACTTTGCTATTTTTCATCTACGCTGTTAATATTTTGTGCCAAGGTGGATTATGAAAGAAGTGACAGAAAGTGATTTTTTTTGAGCATTAGTAAAGTATCATATTCATGTGGTACTAAAGCCACAAAAGCCACAACAGATAATGTTTCATCCAACTTTCAGTCATTCACCATGACTATTTTCTGGACAGAAATGTTATTGGTTTTAACAGGTGATTTATTAGTAGGGATTTGGAATGATTTCTGCTTTTTTTTCTTCACAGAGCTAATCCAACCTTCCTCCCATGTTACTGACGTTTATACAGCTGCATTCTTGACAGTTTAAAATGTATTTTAGTTCAAGTGTACACACAAATGCAACTCCAACCGTAATAAATACGTTGAAAATACACAACAATATTATCCCACACTTTCTAAGGGACTGATCTGTGTTTTGACTCAGAATTTAATACATCACGATAGTTTATATTCAGCAGATAATAGAATAAAAGCGGAATATTTCAGTTTGTTTTATCCCATGTCACAAAACTATGATGAAGTCACAATATTATAATGGAATAAATTCAATTATAATATTGTAAAAACATTAGTATCTTGCCTCATGAATTCTCACACCAGGCCCTCAATTCAAAACAAAACCAAAATTTAAAAGCTCATGAATAATTCAGACATGTGTCCAGTTTTTCTTTTGGTAAGGCAGGGGAAGACTCAGGGGAAATATGTATTATGAATAGGTTTTAAACACAAAGTTTCCTCACTGTAAATTAATCCTTTCTAAACGTTTTTAGTTTGGGAGGCCAAAACCATCATTTAAACTCAAAAAGCACACTTGCAGTTTTCTGAGTAAGACAGCCAAACATATCAGTAACAGGAGAAATTGATTGCAATCCAAGACTTCATGGTGTTACATATTTTAGAGGATTTATTCATCTAACATGGTTTTACAAGTGGATAGACCTCACTGAACCAACTTTATTTTGAGACGATAACTCCAAAATTGATAGTGTACTAGGAAGCTTGTGTGTATTGCAGCTAGACTTTCAAAAAGGCCTTTGACAAAGCAATACACAAGAGAATCCTTTATCTACCATTGCTAGTGGGCATCAAGAATTTGACATGAAGATGGATCAGTACCTGGCTAAAGGTGGAATAGTGGAATCAGAGGAAGCAGCCAGGGTGTGGCAAAAAGCACTCAATGGGATAGAAAACCGGGCTGATCACTGGCAAGTGAAGTTCAATGTGGATAAATGCAAGGCAATAAAAACAGAAGTTACAAGGACAGTAATAGATCAAATAGAGTCAATGGAGATGTTACAAGGAGATGTTACAAGGGACTGAGAAGTGTCGATATGATACTGTGTAGTTCCGGTCACTGTGACAGGCCCAAGAGGCAGTGCAGAGGAGAACAATGAGGATGATCCCCAGTGTTAGAGGAATGAGCTATGAATAATGATTAGACAAGCTCGGGCTCTTCAGTCTTGAAAGGAGATGTCTCAGAGAGAACCTCACAGAGGTATACAGGATAGTAAATGTGATTAAAAAAGTAAACAGAATGATACTTCCATATACATCAAGACAGTAGAACAAGAAGTCATAGGTTTAAAGTCACACATGGCGGTTTTAGGACAGATGTTAGAAAGTACTTATTTATCCAGAGGGTAATGAGTAGGTGGAACAGATTATCAGCAAAGGGAGGATGAGGCCAGAACACAGGACTCAATTAAAAAGGTTGATCTTGTGATGGCAAGGTGGATATTCTGAATAGATGAGACAAAATGGAACAAAGGGCGGTCTTCATCCAAACTTCTCTTACGATCTTGTGAAAACTAGAAGAGGAGGCCATCCAGCTTGTTCCTACCAGTTCATAAGATTGTGGGAGATCTTTTACCCCTTTTGCTATACCCCTTTAATATAGATACCTCTCTTTTAAAGCTCACTTTTGATTCAGTTTTTCTAGCTTCTGGGATGAAGCATTCCTTATCTTCACAAGGAATGCTTCCTGGTCTTGATTCTAATGGTTTTGGGTTGATTTTGAAGTAATGGAAATTTCACTGGATACACACTGACATAAGTTGTTATACTATTTTTATGCAGTTTTCATACCTCCATAATTGGGAGCAACAGTGGGGCAGGTCAGCCGGGTTTCTGACACACGTGTAAACCCATCACCATGTTTAAAAGTATCCAAACCAAGCTGATAATTCCCGGCATCCCACCGACACATGGAAATTCCAGAGATAGTTGTTAGAATGGAATGCTGGAGGGATGTATCCTGCTTACCTAATTCCGGAAAGCATTAGGCGCAGGTTGGCCAAGGTTTGCGGACCCCACAGTGTGCGTTGGGGTAACTGCTGGAGGCTAACCAGCTAAAACCCCAGAGCTTGCCATTGATATTGCTGTCAGGCAAGGTTTCCCACTGCTTATCCAGCTAGGATCACCTTACCCGTCAAGGCTTTGGCTTGCAGGGTTAACAATATGGCTGGACACAAAGGCAAATTGTGGCCATGTTGTGTTGTGATCCCCCCATCCATCCCCATCTATGGAAATAAAAGGGAAAAGTGCCTCAAACAACATGCAAAAAAGATGCTGGGCTACATTGCCAAATCATCTGAGCTCAGATCTCATGAATCATGCACATTTGCAAAGATTTAGACAGTTTCTAATTTCCTTAAATTCTTTTCTAATGCTTTTCCTGTCACATGAACAAATTGGATCATTGGAAACCCGCATATTTAATATCTGTCCTCATTATTCATCACACCTCAAGCAGGATTTATAGTGCTTCTTCTTTCAACTCTCACTTACTTAAGTCATCTGCCGCTTACAGCTGTCTGTCTGCTGCAAAAACATTTATTTTCAAAAAAAATATTACTTTTCCTTAAAATGCAGACATCAGGTTCGGGCAAACCCTGTACAACAAATGATTTGTGAATGTTGCTAACCAAAAGAGTTAACAGCAAGAAATCTCAAATTGGGTAATTCATTCCGTTATAAGTATGAAAGCAGTAACTTGTATACATAAGCAGTAATTCCACGAATTGTTAATAAACAGCATTTGAAATAAATAGCCCCAGTCGTGGCAGTTTATTTATCTTCAATGTGTTGATATAATCTAACCCATTCAGAATAACATAATGGTGACCAACAGTTCACTGGGTACACATTTAATCAAGAGGGCAGTTGACTCTATACAGATTCTCTACAGTCAATCTGATGTCAGGCCAATCTTTCACATATTTGGTACCCAACTAATAATAATAATCCTTGCTTTTGATATAGCGCCTTATCACGTCTTCGAGACGTCTCAAAGCGCTTCACAGAATATACTGTCAAGTGAATTGACTGTATATTTTGTGGGCGAAACGCGGCAACCAATTGCACACAGCAGTCCCACACACAGTCGTGGATTGAGTGACCTCATTATTTTAATTTATTTTTAATTATTACCCCTGGAAAAGTGATCTGTCAATCGACTAACACCCGGGATCCTACTTACTGCTAGGAAAACGGAGACGTGTGGAGTATTGAAACTTGCCCAACGTTTCGCCCTGCTGGGAATCAAACCCAGGTTCTGTTTGCGAGCTGAGTGCTCAAACCAATAAACTACAGGACTCCACAAAGAGTTAACAGCAAGAGTTAACAACTCAATTAAAGCTCACATAGCTAAAGCTAATACAATTTATCTGATGCAGCTGGATTAATTGAGAAATTCACATTTGCCAGGACTAATTTCACATGCTAAAAATGTTGCAGTATTAGATTCACACGCACCAATCGCTTAGGAAATGTCACGGTTATCTTGATCTGCTACATACATAGCAGAGAGGAGAATGGGGTTCTTAATCCATATGTAACAAGGACAAACAAACAAAGGCACTATACAAATGTAATCGTGTTGTTGTTGAAAACTGACCAATAAGATCAGCAAAGCGGTTGTGGAATTTTGAGTTTAGCGAGTTAACTTTACTTGCGAGTCTTGACTTAAAGAAACTATCGGAAACACAAATTATGCCACATTACAATGTTTTTTTATTGCCATCAGGTCCATATGTCCTATGTATTACCACTTAAAGAAACTAACAAAACACTGCAACACTTTGCACCTTTCACAGCAGTTTACAAACCACATTACAAACTCTGTGCAGGATAGAATTACCATATGCCGTGTGCCTGGGGGCTTAAATAATAACATTACATTTATAGAGCGCCTTTCACATCGGGAGGATGTCCCAAGGTGCTGGACAATCAGGCGTCAGGACCCAAGCATGGGGCATGGGTGGGGGAAGGCAGAGAGGTGGGGGCGGGGCGACTGAAGGCACGATCTAAGAGGAGGGTCTTCAGACCGGCCTTGGAAGGAGCCAAGGGAGGAAGTGAGGCGAAGGGACTGTGAGATGGAGTTCCAGAGTGTGGGGACGGAGAGGCTGGAAGCCCGGTCAGGCGGGAGACATGGAGCCCGCTGAGCAGAGGGAGCGGCAGGTTGGTAGGGAGTCAGCAGATCAGAGAAGTAGGAGGGGGCAAGGCCATAAAGAAGTTATTTCATGTTGTTTAGTGAGCTTTAGACTTGATCTGAACTGCTTCTGAGGCCAACGTCTAAAGTTGCTGCAGTCTTCCACAAGTGGTCATTTCTCAAGACAAAATGTCGACTGTGCTTTTGGTTATCTTCGCCCCCTCCACTCACCCACCTTGGTCAGCTCCCCCCACCTCCAGCTCAGGAGCCGAGTCTGACAAATGTTGCAGTTTTAGCATCTGTCCCATTAACTCCCAACACTGAGAAGAGCCTGTGATTCAACAATTGAGATGTTCAGGCATCTTCTCTGGTTTGGTTTACTCTTGGTCCGCGTTGCCAGTCTTGAGCTGCTGCACTCAACATTCTTCCTAGCTGTCTTCCAGTGTCTGTGGCTGGGATATCCTCATCAATGTCATCATTGCAACACTGTCCACAAACTGCAAGGATCATGTCAGGCAGGGCACGTTTCAGATCTAAATTCATTTACATTGAAGATGTCACTGTGCTTTTATCCGATAATATCACACAGCTTTTCCTACCAGTCTCTCACTACAGTTATCGTCCCACAGCCTTGTGACACTGTAGAGAAGTCAATGTGATGAATGAGTTGAATCTCCACTGCTAGCCATTGGATGCCTTGAAGTCAGCATTCTAAGATGCCATCTGCATGAAAGTAAATTCTCCACCGCAATTTGAAAGAAACAGCTGTTTACAGAATGACTGATGGGCGGCAGTCTAGACTAGCTCAAGTCCTAATGTAGGGCTTGAATTCACAACCTTCCATCCCAGAGGCAACACTACTGTACTAGTTGTTTCCCCCACAAAATACACAGTCAATCCATTTCACAATATATTCTGCAAAGCACTTTGAGACATCTCAACGATGTGATAAGGTGCTAAATCAAATGCAAAGATAATTATTAATATTACTACTATCTGAGCCAACTTGACAAGAGCTTTTCTAACATATAAGAGATTGGATTGAAAAAGAGTATAAATCATTTTGTCCAGGGATCAATGTTCAAGCTCCAATTGCATGTGACGTTAGCATCCAGCTCCACTTCACAGCTGCTGACTTCGTTTTGGCAGAGTTGCTTCTTAAGAATGCCTTGGCATTCACCCAAAGTGCTGGGTGAAACTTCCAAAATTTATCATTGGGGGAAATAAAAAAGAATCTCATGACCTCTAAGGCAAAAGGGGTGGGAAAGTAGTCATTTGCGCCTCCTCGGTTGGCCTGAGTGGTCAGTGATCTCCGAAAACTGAGGACATGAACGAAAAAGGCCTGAAAGTGAATTGACGGTTGTAGGGTGATGGCATTAAACTCTCTTGCCTGCTCTCCCACCTCCTCACTGATGCCTTTCGGAAATCGCTTTTAATCATGTGGAGGTCTAATTTTCAATATTCACAAAAGGAGGTGAGAATGCCTTTGAAATGCATTTTATTTGAAAATTGCTAAACATTTTGTTTGGAAACAATAATGTTGAATTTGCTTTATTCACAATAAGGGTGGAAGTAAGAGCACATGAAAGCAGATATTAAGAGTGTTTCATTCTATGAGGAGCTACACTTAGCTTTTTATTTACCCCTTCAGATTCTGTTGATTTAGTTATGCAATGTCCCTCATTACTATCGGGGGTGGGCGGGGGGGGGGGTAGTGAAAGTCCACATTCACACATTCAGTGCCTCGGGACATCCACTTGATATAAAAGGCGCTATATAAATGACGTTTCAAAGTGCTTAAATTAGACCAAGGCTTTACTAAAATAAGTTACTGGTGTGTTTCAAAAATAATAGATTTCAAAAGGATTCTGTTTTATAATCAGCAAATACCAAACTCCAAAGCTACATTTTTTTTCCTTAATTGGCGCTGATAATATATTATTACAATACTTGCATATTTTATAGTGACTTATCGTGTCATTAAGACACCTCAAAACCTCATGATTCTATGTGAAGCATAGTGACGATGCATTCGTAGATGAAAGTGGCAGCCAATTTGCACGCAGATATATTCCAGAAACAGCCAGAAATTGACCAATTTTATAGGGTGGGGTTTGCCAAGACACCAGGAGAACTGTAGCAATGTGCAGAAGTTAGAGCCATAAGTCAACAAAATAGCAGGTGAGCTCAATTTCAACCAAAAATAAAACACCTAAGTGCAGCAATTGGAACTGAAGTCCATATTTGTTAGTTACTGAATTTTTCCGCAAATCCTGTATTGAGGCACTGAACACATCGATTAAAAATATAGAAGTTTAGGCTTATATATATGTGCTAACCACTCTTAGGCACTCCTAATAAATGGTGCTGTACACTGTACGATATTTCAGTAAGCTCGCCAGAAGTGGAGTCAGAAACTAGGCTCGACACCAACATTTTGTTATTTTCAATAAATCAAATATGTTGAGGAAAATCAGAACCAAATTTTTTCTTTGACAAATAGATCTTAAGAGTGCCTCAATTTATGAAACAACAATGAAATCCACTAACCTTTTTATTCTTCCCTTTTCTTTTTGGCGTCCCATTGCACTGCTTGTTGATTGATTTTGTTATGCACTGTCTCTCATGATTATCTGAAAAAGTCAAAATTAATTTACTAACAAGATACTTTAATTTTAGAAAATGCACTGTAGAGTAAAACTTTCAAAACAGAATTTTGAACACGTCTATTACAGTGATCTGCACAAATATGCGATATACTGCAAATACTGACACTAACTTTTCAGAAAATTTGTGAAGCACTTTTAGGAATAATAATATTCCTTGCATTTGATATAGCACCGTATCATGTCGTTGAGATGTCTCAAAGCGCTTCACAGAACATATTGTAAAGGCAATTGACTGTGTATTTTGTTGGCAAAACCCGGCGAGCAATTGCACACATCAATGTCGCACGAACAGTCATGGATATTATTAAAGACTATATCAAATGCAAGGAAAGAAACCCATAAAAGGAAGCCTAAAGGATTCAAAATGATTTTCATGGACAATTTGAAAAAGTGGGTGAGAATAAAGTCTAACAGCAACCATTCGGATTGTACACAATAACTAATTTTTAATATGACAAAGTCCAATTAATTGCATGTAATGAATTGATCCAAAATAAAACATCTGAAACATAATTTGTAAAGAAAAATAATTTACTTAATCAACTCCAAGTTTAAGTTCTGAAACTGTGGTTAGAACGTTTTTCTGCCAAAAATAAAATACCAAACCTCAAGATGTTATGCAAAATCAGCATACAATTTTTTTTATGATTGACTCGTAACCAATAGGCACTGAACATATTAGAGTAAAACCAGCAGTTAACTTTTAATTTCCATTAGTTTCTAAACGTATTAAAAAATGACTGCTCACATTACTGGTGGAACCTTTATCTGGAAGGGTTTCAAACAGCGGAATAATCTTTAGATTATTACAGATCTGTTCCCGAGAGAAGAGCTCACTGAATTAACAGAGGCATTGTAACAAATTACATTTTGTAAAAAGTTGGTATTGTGGTCATATTTACAATCCCTTTGGTTATTAGCTTGTTAGCATTTGTTATCCATATCCAAGCTTCATCTTTATTGGTGAGGGATCAGCTTACTCATGAATCAAAAATCAGACTTAGATGAGCACATTAAAACGTAGTTATTAAAACTACAACATGTACCATTCTTCCTACTGATCATCATTGCCATGTCACACACTTTTTTTTGCCATCCACACTTGGACAATGCACGACTCCTCCTCTTTTTAATGGTAACTACGGTCTTCTGGCTCATTCCATCTGATTTCTAACCAAAACAATCATTTGAGGTTTCTGTGAACTCTCCGTTCTTCTGCCTTGAACGTTCAGTAGCGAGCTGGCCTATAGAGAAAGCTAGAGTTCCATAGGTAAATAATAAAGAAATTAAGCGCTAGTCTCTGAAACTCCTCGCCTTGCTGACCTCCCTGACTTCAAATCTCTATCTTTTTTAAAAAATCCTGATACCTTCAATTAATACCCTTAAATTCTTCCTTCTCTTCGCACTGCAGGGTGCTCTTGAATATCTGTGTATCCCTCCTGAGTTAATCCACCACAAATTGAGTACATATTGCAAAAGGTAATGGAACTCAATTACTTTGCAAACCCGTACCCTGATAATAATCCTTGAATTTGGTATTGTGCCTTATCACGTCTTCGAGACATCTCAAATCGCTTCACAGAATATACTGTACAGTGAATTGACTATATATTTTATGGGCAAAACACGGCTGCCAATTGCGCACAGCACTGTCCCGCAAACAGTCGTGAATTGAGTGACGCATTTTATTTTATTTCAAAAAAAAGGATTATTACTGATGGAATTCATCCAAGAATAATGAAGGAAATAGGGAAAGAGATGATGGAGGATCTGATCGTAATTTTATAAATATTATTGGAATAATTGCTGCCCTGGAGAACTGGAGGCTGGTTAATGTAATGTGCCAGTTAATTTTAGGAGAAGGATAAGCAGAAAAATTATGTTTGACTTAGTATTGCAACAGTTGTCAGTAAACTGTTAATTGACCATAATAGGGAATCAAATTAGAAAATACTAAGAAAAGCATGAATTAATCAGGGATATCCACCAAGGATTTGTAAAGGCAGGTAATGCTTGACTAATGCTTCTTTGAGGCAATAACAGAATGTCCAGTTAACAGGAATGCAGTGGATGTTGTGTATATTGATTATCAAGAGGAGAAATGTGATTGTCAAGTGACCATTAGTGAAGTGTGAGCCTCAGCAGCGCATGTCTGCAGGCCACTACACTGTAGAGGGCATCACAGACTGGCCCGATCATTTGACACCTGGCAGTCACACATGTACATTAACCAGTTGAAGGTGCTGAAGAGGGACCAGAAGTACTGTTTTGTCCCCTCCCTAAGCCTGGGAAGGCCGAGGCCAAAACTTTACCTTATTCACACAGGTTAAAGATCAGGTACTCGCTGAGACCAGCAACAACTGCATTTATATTGTGCCCCTCACGCATCCCAGAGCGCTTCCCAGTGAGTGAGATGCAGCTGCACTATCCACTAAACCATTGAGGCCACCTCAAATTTTTTTTCACATGTAGCGGCACAAATAGAACAAGGTGGTGATGAAAACATTTATACAAACTGCTTGATAACCTTGGCAAAGAACCTCTTTCCGTTGCTCCATTGTGTTCTACCTATATAACCAACAACAATAATAATAATAGAACACTTCAGCCTTATTGTGTCAGATTAACCAATTCCGGGATTTAAACACATTTCACCCTAATAGTATTCTCCCCCTCATTTACCTCAAGATATACCCTCTGAACTCAACCAACAATTGTTTAGTTCTCCACTATTACAGCGGCAATGTGCTCATGCTCCTTTCCCTTGAAACGACACTATATTAATAATCCTTGTATTTTATATAGGGCCTTATCACGTCTTTGAGACGTCTCAAGGCGCTTCGCAGAATATACTGTAAAGTGAATTGACTGTATATATTGTACATACAATACTGCTCTTAAGTGTGTGATCTCTGAAGTTATGGAAGTTTCTGAAACTATCTTTCACCTTAAAAAGTCTGCTCTTATCTGGGATTTACGGTAAGGTTTTCATCACAATGACATTCTTCCAAGGTAAATCATTGATTAGCGCCTTTGGCAGCGTGCAGTTCAAAGGCAAGATACTATCTTATGTTTTCCAAAAGCTAATGTTCAAAGTGGTTTGCTTTCCTCTCAAAAATTGGTTAATAATTATATAAAAATAATTCCAAACTCAACATCAACGACCTCTTCCACTTATCATCCAATCCTAAACATTCTTTGCTGATGGTTGAACTCTAGAGTTGATCATCTTTTTTCTGATTACATGCTGTTGGGACACATTACTTTCATTCACTCCTCTAACAGTGGCTAAAATCATTTAGCCATTGTTATAGCAATGGCTAAAATCATTAAATCTTGATCTTCTTTTACTCTTTTGACGGGCAATGATCATCGGTTTTCTTCCAATTCCTCAGACTGCTTCTTCATGCATCTCGCAACAGCTACCACACTTTATTTTCACTTTTAGTATCCTTAATATTAATATAATTATTAAAGATACTATTATCCTTAATTAATATTAGTAGTAGTATCAACAATCTCCTCAGTTGAGGAATTAATTCTATCTATCCTCCAAGCTATGTTTCCTTTTCTATACCAAACTTTCTCTTCCCTCCCTCAACAAATTTTAATTCTCGATAAAGATTACATTTTAGAACATTACTTCTATAGTTAAGAAAGCTTTTAACATGCAGAGAAGCCCATCACCACGTTTAGAATATCCAAACCAGACAGAGTTCCAAATATCTACGCCACCTTCACAGAAATTTCCATGTTTAGAATTGAATATGCACTTTCTCTTCCTGGAAGGAGGTGCCTGTCTTATCAAATTTCAGAGCTTTGGGTCTATATTGGCAAGAGGAAACGCCTGGGGGCCCCGTGTGTACATTGGGGTACTTTTCCAGATTATGCTAAAATTGCATAATTGCCATTGAGAGCACTGTCTGGGAAGCTTCCCACTGCTTGTCCAGCTAGGACAACCCATCAGTTAGGGTTCTGACTCATGAAGTTAACAGGAACCGATGGGAAGAATCTCCAGTTCCCAGCGATCGGTCTGCAATTTCAAGTTGTACTGACAATATAAGAAGCTCATTATTTGATAACTGATCCTTCACTCACCTATGGCCTACATCCTGGCTTTCCATTGTCAATTTTTCTTTCTCTCTCCATCAATGATACAGAAGCCATTTCTCCTTCAACTATCTCTCTTTGCTTCCACAGAAGTTCCAATTAATTCGCTTTGTGCTATATTCCTTCCCTTCTTGCAATAAAATGTATCCTAGTTTCCTGCTCTAGTTTATTCTTACCTAGGATTTCTAGATTGTAAAACTGCTTACCTCTCTCAATGTAATCTTTCTCTTAAAATGTACACTTTTTAAAAAAAATGAAAGCTGAATGCCACTTATTTAGTTATTATTCTTTTATTTTCATACTTGAGGGTGTTTTATAGCATCATGGGTCTAGAATTCTTACAATTGCAGTGAGTTGAAGCAGCAGACTTTAACTGCACGTTTTAATTTCATTGTTGAAATACCTTAAATACATAAACCAGGTTTATTGCATATATCCAAAGTTTTTCAGATTACCCAAAAACATAACCCAACCCCCCACCTAAAAAAATTAATAATAATCCCTGCATTTGATATGGAGCCTTATCACATCACTGAGACATCTCAAACCGCTTCACAGAATATACTGTAAATGAATTACAATAAAACAAACCTAATCTAGTGCTGGAAATTCAATGTGCAGGCAAAATTGGCTCAGCTATTATGCTCTTTCTGCATACAAAAGAATGCTAACACTAATCAAGTTCACACAAGAAGCATCACTACCTGAGAAGGTATTTAAAATCTGTCATCATTGGAACAGTGTCATACCAAATATCCAGCTTCAAGAAAAGAAATATTAAGGAGAAACATGGAGCTCCATGTTTTGTTAGCAGCTTGGTGGTGCACCACATTGGAGCTCCATTTGAATTGCAACACAGACATGACGGATCTAGATACACATCAATAATACTCACATAAAGAGTTTGGGATTGCAGCTGTGCTACTGTGGGAGAAGATAAGCAAAAGCCAAATGTTTTTCCTTGAGGGAAGCAGAATAAATCAGTCTGGCTGGCACAACTACTCAACGCGTTGTCAAGAGTTCTGTAAACGGGTCATCCGTATACTTGGTTGCATATGGTGCAGAGAATTTTTGTGTAGCAAATTGTGCATAATATTCAAAGAAAAAATGAGGGGTAAGAAAATATTTAAACAAAGGAAAACACTTGTTTCCGCAGTGCTTTCAAATTAAAAGCATTTCAGTGCCAAAATTTTTGAATTGGGATGGCAGCTGCGTAAACAGTGTGAAGAACGTAGCATAGTACAGGACAGAAAATCATGCCCAAAGTTTAATATATTGCAAAAAAAAACACTATGTCTATATTAAATGCCTGCTCATGCTTATCAAGTTCACACAACGCCACCTGGGAAGGTTCTCAAAGTCTGCTGGCATCAAATGGAACATTGATTTATTTCCAAGGTCTATGTATTTCCTATACTACTCTAATAAATAGTTTGCTAAATAGCCATCCAATTTCATTTTTAGTTTGCTGTAAATATTCTATTTTCACTATGCAAAATAAATGAACATTTATTCTCTATTCAGTCAAGTCCTTTGTTCTAGATTGGTATCCAGCTCACAATGGACACGGCAACTAGTTATTAATGTTTAAACAAAAATGTTCCCTTTTAAATAGATGGAATAAAAATATTTTTATTACGTATATTATAATCTTTGCATTTTATATAATGCCTTATCAAGCCTTCGAGATGTCTCAAAATATACGGTGGAATGAATTGATTGTATATTTTGTGGGCGAAACACACTTGAATAGATTACATACTTTGGATGGATGGACTACGATGCTTATCTTCATTTTCTTCATGACTGCTTTCCAATATTAAGATGTCCTTAGATAACCTGTCCTGTTCTTGGCATTGCACTTTGTTGAATTGTTTTTCTCTTTGGTTCCCATTCACCTGATCAGTAACCTTCAAAGAATTCAGAGAGCTGTTTTTTGTTTCAGAGTGTAATTTTGAAACTGTTGTCATTTCTTTAACTTGTTCATACAAATTAGTGGGTGCAGTGTCTTTCAGAGAGAACACAACCTTTTGTTTGTCACTGTCCTGATATACAATACCGTTTTTTTTCTCAGACTCTTTCCCAATATCTGTCAAATCTTCCGATTGATCAAGAAACGTCTTAAGTAATTCTACCATACGAGTCTTCCTCGATTTCTCTTGGAAATTTAGAGAAGCAATGGGCGGTTGGCAGGCATCAGTATCTTCATCACAGTTGTTAATATGCTCAGATGACTTAACACATTCACTTCCATTGTAAGTACGACCTGTGTGCTGTGCTGCAGGACTAGAAACTGAAACGGTTCTGGCTCTTTTTCTTGTAGCTGTAGAACCGCTCTGTGATTTTCTCTTTTGCTTTTCAACTTTAGGAAATAACCTGGAAGGACTTGGTGACTTGGGTGGAAGCAAGTTTAAAGAAAGCCGTTTCTGATTTCTTTGACCCTTCAAATTGGCAGGCGAAAAGAAATCTTCAAATGCAACATCCTCCCTGCTGGGCGATGTGTGATATAAATTTACAGGGCTTTGTTTTGCGTTGAAGATATCCTTTCCTATTGGCTTCAAGTTATCAAATGTATTTTTACATAATTGTCCCTTTTTAACTGAGTCAGACAGATTTTTCTTCAACCAAGAAGGACTTGGTATCCACTGGGAAGACTTATTTTTAAAATGTGCATTCAATAACGAGCTACCCTTAAAATCATCATCAGTGGGAGCTGTCAATGCTAATTCCACATTCTTCACGTTAGCAAATGATGGTGTTAAGTTACATACAGTATTACATGACTGATCTGTAGTTACATAGTTCAGAGCTGCTGTACTTTCTTCAGCACTTTTTTCTTTAGTTTTCACATGGATTGAACCTATTGTCATTTCCTCACAAGAGGATGAAGCTATAGTGTCCTTTTTCTTCGGTACTTGAAACTTTAATGTAGACATGGTGCTTGGTATTCGGTTGTTGAAACTGCTCTTTGATGAAAACAAGCTTGTACTATTAACACCAGAAACAGGCATAGGATGCTCAACCTTCTGTCCTTCACAGATTGCAGTTTCAATTTTCTGTTTAGGACTTCCACAAGGAACACAAAATGAGACGTTTTCTGAATCAGCTCCATGTTGTTCTGTAATAAAGAATATTTGTTATGTACACACTGAATTATATCATAAACTCAAATATATACACAAGCTGAAAAAGGTATTAAGGTACAGAGCTTGATGTGACAGACACTCATTGGAACTGGCCAACAATCTCCAAAATAAAAAATTGCCCATTTACTTCACAGCTGTTTTGGGCAGATTGGCTGCTGCGCTGGTCTACAAAACACAGTCACTGCACATCCTGAAGTGCTTTTGGGCTGTCCTCCTGATATGAAAGGCACAATATCAAATGTAAGGATTATTATTACTGTAGTTCTTCAATTGCACTTGTTATGGCATCAGTGATGCACCAATATAGTAGAACATTTGTTTGTCCTGATATTGTCTAGAACTCTGAAGAAAGCTTATTTGACCGCACTTCTCTTGAACATCTTTTTCACTTTGAGGTATCTTTTTTGCATGAAAGGAGCTATTGAAGTCCAGACTCCATTTTCAAAATCTCACTAAAAATTAACTGGTTTCATATCATAACAGTGCATTTTCTGAGATCTCCAAATAAGTGGCTGAGCGAATACCTTCTCAGTTGCTGAATGTGATTTCATAGGAAAGAGGAACATAAAGAACCAGAAGAGACTACAAATTACGCAAAATTGAAACAAATTATGCAAAAATACAAAACTTATAATATCAGAACTTAAATGTGAAACTAGTGAAAAATACTGAGCAAAAACTGCATTCATATAGAGCCTTTTACATCAGAAATCGGACTACCTAGACCATCACAGAAGGTTGACTTGATTTCAACATTCTGTTTCCAACAACGTCGCCATGGAGCCTCAAGTAGATCCCAACTCTCCCCCCCTTCGGATAATCGTGATTTGTTCATTTGACATTCAAAAACTGCAGGTTTCAATCCTGACTAGGTCGATAGCAGATACCAGGAACTCTCTGAAAAAGTCATGGTGAACAGCACAACTCAGCAATGCTTGTCTATTTCATGCTTTCACTTTCCTGCCCACAGCTTGGGTTCACATCCCGACTCACTGAGTAAAGGTTCCACCAGTTGGAACGAAAACTGAAACTTTTTTTTATTTTATTCAGTCTTAAGAGGCTTAGGGGAAAATGAAAAGTGGTGCAAAACTACAGGTGATTAAAATTAAATAAACATTAATCTTTTAATTCAACAAATAAATTGAGCACTTGCCTTTAAATAATGTTTTCGGAGAAATTGAAGGAGATTCCCCAAGAGAAGGTCTGGAGAGAGAGTCAGCAGAACTTGTCATTTGAGACATTTGGGAAGCTAAGAAAAGAATCAAGCACATATTAATACATAATTCTTACAAGCAATTTAAAGATGATATACATGCTGAATTAGTTTATGACTCATGACCCAGTCTGCACGTAATAATAGGCACAATACACACAAGTCATTTAAGTCCTTAGCTTAGCTTTCCCAAGGCAGCATTAGGCTTCACATCTAAAAAAAATTGGCCCTTGTCTGGGCTTCGTTTGCGTATCTTAGTGGGGTAGAAGTTGGGTGGAAGTTGTCAAGTGAGACAAATGGGGCCAAGTTTTCTTGAGCAATCTCCTTCAAAATCCTTGAATGGTAATAGCGAGCAAAAGCAGATGTGGGGTTTGAATGACAGTTGTGGGGGGGGTGGTCAACGTCACTAAGGTTCTGAACCGGCTCTGGAAGGTGGAATGAAAATTCACGAAGATCGATTCTGTTAGCGCCCAAGGTGAGAGGTGCTGATTGGAGCAAAGCATGAGAACCTCAGTCTTCTCGATATTTAACTGGAGAATGTATAAAATGTATGCCAAAAGTGCTACACTACTATACAATGCTATACAAGAAGTTACCAGTGGGTGAAAGATTTTCTCTTTTCTCCTTCATTTGTTTTAATCTTTCTGCCATTCCAAATAAGTGGTCGAGGGAATATTGCTTCAGTTTGGGGCTCTGAACGTCTGCATCATCCTCATCAAATGAAAGCATAGGCAGTTGAGCTCCTTAAAGAAAAATTAGGAAAATAAATGTAATTCTACATTAGAACCCCAAAGACACAATCATACTATAATCCTTATACACACTATTACAAAAACTATTAACTAGCCAATTTTTTTGAAGAAAGATATTAGTTTACTTAGTGTGGATCAAAAACAAGGTAACATTAGAGTAATACAACTTACTATATTATTAATACAATTTTATTCATAAACTTTCACATATTCATTAGAATTTTACATGTGGCTTTCATCTCCTCTATTTTAGTTTTTCCCTTATACAGTGAAAACCCACAAAATGCAGTGGTGGGGATCCATAAAATCCCAATCAACTTTATAATGGGGTGCAATTCTAAAGGCCTGCGCGCTGGCAGCAACTCAATGACCTGAAAGTCTTCACTTTTTAACTGAATGGACAGGGTTTTGAATTGTGATGGTCAGTTTACACCTTAATTTGTTTGGCAAGTAAATATCAAGCAAACTGATCTTGTAACAAAGCAAATTATAACAGGTTCTGCTGTAGTGACAGTAGCCTGCTTGCCACTCCACCACCCGCTACTCCAGCCTCCTACTTGTCCCTCATCCCCTCCACCACTGGCGGACAGGCTTTCATCCACCACGCCCCAAAACGTTGAAACTTTCTCCCTCAGTTCCTCTGCCTTGCCCCCCCATTCCCATTTTCAGATCACAATTGAAGACCTTCCCTTCGCCTGGCTCCGCCACTGTTAAGCACTCTGAGATGCTACCCTGTGTGAAGAGCACTATATAAATGCAAGTTGTTATTGTAAATTCTGTGAAACCACTTTGAGACGACAAGGTGCTACATCAAATACAAAGTTTAGTATTCTTATAATCTATTGCTTGACCTGGTCTAATCTTTAGAGAGACCATGTCAAACATCCAATACATTTATTGAGAACTCCAGAAATCCAAGGTGACAGATGAGGCAACATGTTACTATTCCCTGTTAAGCAGTGAAGTCAAAAGTACTTCTTGCAGAGTTCATTTTCAAGATGAAATTCCTAACGTAAACTTGTAGACCGAAAACTTACCATCATTTTTTTTCAGATCTAAACTTTGTATCATTTGATCCAATTTCTTCCGCAAACGTTTGTCATTTTCTGGTGTTTTCTCCAGGAAATCTTTCGGCCTCATACAACGATACTGAGAAGATTACAGATGCATTAATTAGAGAAGTACAATTTTACTGAAGCACAGCAGCTGAAAATATAATCACATGAGGTAAACTGAAAAACACTGGACATTTTGATCACATTCCAAAAATCACAATAGCATCTTGGTTCTATCTTGATAAAATAAAATAAACTGAGAATAAAGTAACAACAGTGTTTATTGTAAACTGTAGCGAATGCAGGTTCTATGCGGACCATGGCAGCCAATTTCCACACAGCAATATCCCACAAATACAATTTTATTTGTGGGATTGTTGGCTGGGATACCAGGAGAAATTCCCTTCACTTTTTGAATGGTTCACAATTTTTATGGAACCTGAACAGGCTGATGTTTAACAAGCTTGGTTTAACATTTAATCTGAAGGACAGCACCTTTGACAATGCATGTTCCCCCAACACTGTCTTGGGAGTGTCAATCTGGACTAAGTTCAAAGTCCCAAAAATGGAGCTTGAACCCACAACCTTTCGACTCAGAGAAGTAAACGCTACCAAATGAGCCAGCTGACACCTGGCTCATGTTCTCATTGGACACGACTATGAAAGAACAAAAACAAAGAGAACCACATGTCATTTTGTCAAAACATAAATCCAGTAAAGGCAGTACACTCAGTCCTCATAGCATAATACTTTGGGACTGAACAGATAGATTGCCAATTGTCTTCTCCAGTGTGGGATAGTCTTACATTCCCAACATAGCCCTTGGGAACCAGACTCGTTTGCATGTTGTAATAAGACTCATAAAATGGATATATGTGCTTTGTTTAGGCTTGCAGTTTCTGATATAAATATTTTTTTTAAAAAAAGGATTTGTTTTCTTCCAATGTTCTCCAAATCAAATTCTCAGCATTAAACAAATAAAAACAATTTGGAACTACAAAGATGTCTAACTCCTTATTCATACAATTGCCACACAAGATACCTCCTGCATGCAGTGCACATATACATAGCATCCAAGATGTCCTCTGCACGTGAAAGGCGCTATATAAATGCAATTTGTTGTTATTGTTTGTAGTGATCTTACAACCTTACGGTCGGTAATTCTTGTGGTTGAAAAGCTAGTCAAAATTCAAATTGATTTTTTTCCCCCCAGTCATCTTTAAGTCTGACACCTGCTGAAACCCATCACCATGCCTAACAGTATACAGACCAGACAGAGTTCCACATATGTAGCCACCCATAAATGGAAATTTTCTTGTGTCTGGAATAGAATATGCACTCTCCCCCCGGAGAGTGGTACCCTGTTTAACTAAATGAAGAAAGTATTAGTTTCAGGTTGGCAAGAGCTAAGGCTACGGGGACCTTGGATTACTGCTGAAGTTTCACAATCTAAAACTGCAGAGCTTGCCATTGAAAGCACGGTTTGTCAATCTACCTGCTGCCCGTCTTACTAGGCCCACCTTGTTAGGGCTTTGGCTTGCAGGGTTAAGAGGAGCTGAGTGAGAATAATCCTGTCGACAGATTGGACACACATTTCCATTGAGTGACAATTCCACCAACTGGAGATGTGGAGCTTGAGCAGCAACTGCTTACCTTTCCGCAAACCAATCAAGGTAGATGCCAAGCATTGAACATACAGATATATGTTCACAAACACAGACCCCAAATAACACCTTCCAGCTGTTGCCTTTCCAAGACAGAGTTTCCTCAGCAGCTGTCTGACGGACATCTGCTTGTAGATGGCCTCCCTCCCTGAATTTGCTTCTCCCGTTTACCACAAATTCACTCACTGCAAGGTCGCGAACAACACAATGAGTTGAAAGAGACCATCTGCTGGCATGCCCAGCAGCTCGCAACCATGAACGAGAACTGTTTGCTTACATGTCTTATAAACCATCCGCTTAACCTGCATTGGGACCTTGCTATGCTTGAAAGGAGGTGGGTACAACCAGAGTGCCCTTCACCCCTTCTCAGCATGATCCCGAAGGGAATTGTCAAAGCAAAAGTTGACCACAACCCCCAGATACTGACCAATAAGAAAGAGTGTAGCATCACTATAGCATACTTTGGGTGTTTCCTTCCAGTAGCAGATGGTATCATAGCAGAAAGTCTTACAGTGAGGTTGCGAGGAAGATGGGGGGGTTGATGGAAACAGTGGTTAAAGGCACCATCAAAAGGATGGGTTTTGAAAGCAAAAAGAGGGGGCAAGGATGTGAGATATCATAAAGGAATTCCAGAATGTGGGGGGAAATCAGAAATCAAGAGGGTGAAAAACCATCATCTCAGAATTTCTAAACTTTTGAATAGATAATACAAAAGGATCTTATGAGTTGAGCATGAAAATACATTATGTAGCTGTGACAGGTAGAACCACAGCTCGGGTAGAATGTTCTTCAAGTGAGCACAATTCTCTCACTTACTCAACAGCACATATATTAAAGCTTCAATCAATATTTTCCATAACAAATGTTCCTTTCTTTTAAAAAAAGAAAGATATCTTGTGAACTTACTTTGCTTTTAATTCCAGGTAAAGATACACTTTCATTAATTGCAGGAAACAAGGATTCGTCAACATGGGAACCGGTTGCCAGACACCTTCAAAACAAATTATTACACTCAATAGTATCTGACAGCAGCTTTATTATACTACTACTTTCATTCCAGCACATTTCTACTGAATTACATTCCAAAAAATAAAATCTTATTATAACACCTTCCACAACACTAGTTTTTATTAGAGCAATATGTAACAAAAAACACTTCCAAACTTTAAATATCTCCCACACCCAGTTCAGGAAACTTCCAATTCAACAGTTGCTTACACTCTTATGATGTAATATGCAGTTAAACATCAGCTTGTGGGCACCTGAATAACTGGGTAATAACGCACTATTCAGGCCACTTTTTCAGTTCTTTGTAAACTTCAAACTAATGAGCGAGTCAAAAATACAAAAGGTTTGTAACTAGGGGCAGTCCGATTATGGATAAGAGAAAAGTGTGGATAATACTGCAACACTCAAAATAGAAATTAGCTACATGCTAAACACAATATCAGGAGTAACACTGTGCGGACAGCCTTCAGCCATTCTAACCCTGCTCTCTGGAGTACTGACTGTGCTTTCCGTCATCTTTCCCCTTCCCACTCACTTTGGTTCCTAACCCCAGTTCGGGTGTACATCTGGCACTGTTAAGCGCTGTGAAATGTTCTCCCGATGTGAGATTCATACATTAATATAATATATTATTAATATGAATTGTATTGTGCTGTAAATTAATTGTGTACAATGACAACATTTCAAGTTTAAACAGAATTTTAAACATTTAGTAGATTTTCTTTGTTATCAGACAAGATTCTAAAACTTCCATCATTCTTAAAAGTTAAGCTCACTCACCCTTCTAGTTTAGTATATCAAATGCCCCAAAAAGTGACATCAATTGATTAAAATGTTGATACCTTTCTACCCAAAGGACGGATACCAACTTCACCCCGGTTTTCTTGGCCTTTTTCCAAACACTCTGATGTCCGTCTTTGAACACTACATGGGTCACTTGCTTATTGAAGAACTTTAAAACCTATAAGGAGATATAAAATGCAACATTTAATAAAGTGCACTCTTGAAAGTACTGGATTTTAAAACAAGCCATTTTTATAGTTCATTTTTGTAGCGATCCCGTGATCGAAAATTCAAACACTTTGCTTAGTGACAGGTTAGATCTTATAAATAATTTACCAAAAAATGCAATTGTTCAAATCAGAGGAAAAAAACAAAGAGGCACCTCATTTAGTTCCATAATGATAATAATATTAATCCTTGCATTTGAGAGAGCCTAGCATATCGTTGAAACAACAACAAATTAAACTCTCTGAATCGGTGCGCAACTTAGGGGTCAGGTACGAACCCCAGTTATCCTTCCTCCCCCCACATCATGTACTTGACCAGTTCCGCTTTCTTCCACCTCCGCCACATTGCCCGTCTCCAACAATTCCCCAAAAGCTGACGAAACGCTTGCCCATGCCTTTATCACCTCTCAGCTGGACTACTCTAACCCTCTCCTCACCGGTCTCCCCTTCTCCACTATTCACAAAATTCAGCTCATTCAAAGCTCCGCCGCCCGCATTCTCACCCGCACCAAACTCCGTACCCCAATTACTCCAGTCCTTGCCACACTCCACTGGCTCCCTGTCACAGAGCAGATCGACTTCAAGATCCTCACTCTAGTATTTAAATCCCTCCATTCCTTGGCACCCTCCTATCTCTCTAACCTCCTCTCACCCCACAGCAGTACCCGCTGCCTCCGCTCTACTGGGAATGGCTTCCTCCGTGTCCCCCGAATCCTCCACTCTACCATCGGCGGCTGTACCTTCAGCCACTACACCCCGAAACTTTGGAACTCCATCTCTCAACCCCTTTGCCTCACCCCCTCCATCCCCATCTTCAGGTCGTGCCTGAAGACCTCCCTTTTCGACCACGCCTAAGGTCACCTTCCCCTCCCCCTGGCTTGGCCTTGGGCTCCACCACTGCTAAGCGCTCTGAGACGCCGCCCGGCGTGGAGGGCGCTATATAAATGCAAGTTGTTGTTATACTTGTATAGCACCTTTCACTGTGGAAAGAGGTCCAAGGGTGCTGGACCATCAGGGGTTTGGGTTCCGAGCTGGGAGTTAGGGAAAGGAGGGGTGGAGAGCAGGGGGAGTGAGAAGTCAGGATGGCCGAAGAGGAAGGTCTTTAGAAGGGACTTGAAGGAGGCAAGAGAGGGGGTGAGGTGGAGGGATTGCGGGATGGAGTTCCAGAGCAGGGGGCAGAGATGCTGAATGCCTGACTCCCAATGGTGGGGTGGGAAATGCGGGGGACCTGGAGCAGGACCGTGTCCGCCGAGTGGAGGGAACAGACAGGCTGATATGAGGTTAGGAGGTCAGAGAGGTAGGGGGAGCAAGACCATGGAGGGCCTTGAAGGCGAGAATGAGGGTTTTGAACTCGATTTTCTGAGGGATGGGGAGACGTCTCAAAGGGCTGTGTATTTTGAGTTAAATGAAACAAATTTTGACACCAAAATCAACAACAGCTTTAATAGGCTTTGAGTGATTAACATTATGTGAGCATAGTCAATTGAATAATAGAATTCAAATTTACATTTATATATGGTTTTACGTCAGCAGGATGTCCCAAGATGCTTAACATTACAGGCTTGGACTCTGGGGGTGGGGAGGTCATCAATGTTTCTCAGCAGTGCCATAACGTTGCTTCCCAGTAAGAGTGTTTGGACTAGCTAAAAGGACATTTGCAATAATAAACTCATACAGATCAGAAACACACAAAACTACATCACACCAACAAGAGAAATCCTTCTATTCTCGCCCACCTCCTGGTGGCTGGGGTTAAGAATAGCACTGGCAGAGGCCTGGGAACAGGTTATGGGCTCACCCACTCTCAGTATCAGCTGATTTGACTGAGGCTGGGGTTACCCAATGAGCAAGAGAAAATAAATTAAAAACATTCCATTATAGTACAATGTTTATTTTGATATCAATGTTCAAAATCTCAAATGTTTTCTCACCATACCGGTCGGTCACTTTTAAAAATGTCGTTCATTATAACAACGTCAGGGAACAGACTGTATACAATTCAACAAATGAGTCCCATGTGTTGAACAAACAAGGGCTACAAGAACAAGCAGCTTTTGATGTTCCCAGAGGTTTCCTCTTAATTTCAGATCTGCTTTAAATAAAAATGTTAAAATGCAAGCGACACTGATGGGTACTTGAGTATTACTCACACAAGACATTCTGGAACAGTTTAGTTTTAAGTCAAGTCAAGATAGAAGGGTTGAATTATATGAGAAAAATATTTTACTGCAGAATGATCAGCAACATACTAAGGGTGGGAACGAAACACCACCGGCCTTTGAATTTGCTCTTTTTTTAAAAAAAAATTGTACTTTTCAAAATATTCGTAAAAGAAGACAACGAGAATTCTCTGCCAACCTAATCCAAGCATTGTTACACAAAGCTCAACTAATGTCGGGCAGCTATTTTGATTAAAACTTTCCACTCATATCTCAAATAACGTAAGCACCGCCCATTCACTCTCAGTCCACCAGTAGTTATTTTTCACTTTCAATAAGTTCTATATTTTTAGACAAATGGAGTCAGGTAAGGATGGGGGTGATGGGGTCGTGGAGCCTGGTGCGATAGAGAACACAGGCTGCAGAGTTCTGGATGATCTGCAGCCTATGGACGGTGGAGTTGGAGAGGCTGACAAGCAGGGACTTTGCATAGTCGAGCCGAGATATTATGAATGTGTGTATGAGGGTCTCGGTGGCCTGCTGTGTGAAACAGTGGCAGAACAGGGCAATGTTATGGAGGTGCTATAAGGCAGAGACATGGCATGGATGTGGGGTAGAAAGGAAGTTGAGGGTCAAACAAGGTGCCAAGGTTCTGGGCTGGCTTAGTAAGGTGGAGTGTGCAAAGGTAAAGTTGGGTGAATCCGCATGATGATGCCAAGACTGGAGAAAAACTTCAAAAAATTTGGAAACATAACAGCTTCGACAAAGGTCATTAAAATGCCTCCTACCATAAAATCAAGCGTATTGCGACCAAAATGTTCGAGGGAATGGAAGGATTGGACTATGAGAAGCGACTAAGTAAATTGGGCATGTTCACACTGGAAAAGAGAAGATTGAGAGGTGACATGATTGCTGTCTTTAAGATTCTAAAGGGGCTCGACAACATAGATCATGACAGGCTGTCTCAACTTGTCCAGAATAGTAAAACCAGAGGACACGGCCTGCGATTGAAGGGGGTAAATTCAGAACAAATCTACGCGGTTGAAGCAGGTGCTGATATAGTACATAGGTAGTTCAGACCATTTGGAAGGTGGAAGGCGAACTACAACAACTATAAGAAAATTACATTTGTATAGCGCCTTTCAGGTCGGTAGGAAATCTCAAGGCGCTGAACAATCAGTGTTTCAGACCTGAGCTGTGGGGTCAGGATCGGGAAGGATGGTGGACAGGGGGGAAGGAGGGTGACCAAGGGCACTTTCGAAGAGGAGGATCTTGAGACGGGTCTTGAAGGAGGCAAGGGAGGCGAGGAAGAGAGGCTGCGGGATGGTGACGATGGGGGTGATAGGGTCGGGGAGCCTGGTGTGTAAAAAGGACACGAGTTCAGGATGATCTGCAGCCTATGGATGGAGAAGTGGGGGAGGCCGACAAGCAGGGAGTTTGCGTAGTCGAGCCTGGATGTTATGAATGCGTGTAAGAGGGGCTCGGCAATGGATTTTGGTCTTTTTTCGTCCAGCATTTCTTACGTTCTTATAGCCCAACTTGTATATAAAAAAATAACTGTCACTTTTATACGAGCAAGCAAAAAACTGTAACCTTTGCATTATATTGTATTCCAACAATAAAGATTGTATATCCCAAGTTGACCATTTATGTAAACCTGCATAAAGGTGTGATAATTTAAGTGCTACATTTTATGAAAGCTACTATATCCATATTTTCAAGTGCACGACTTTTGCCAGAGCATTACTAGTATTATTTGTGCTTCTGTTAGTATTAGAGTTGCAGTATATTTATTTTCTAATCAATTGGCTACTCATTTCACTGTTGTTTGTAGGACATCACTGGTGTAAATGAACTGCCATGTTTGCCTTCACAATAATATTTTTCATAGTTCATTTTAATTGAAAGGCATTGTGTAAATATTGTTGTTACACATTCATTCAGCAACTTATAAGAATTTGAGAGATGCACGTTTGATTGTTCATTCCAGATCTAAGTGTTATACTTTAAAGCAGAGTGGATAAAAACACGTTGGTTCAGATTTAATTAACTGTTAATGAACACGAGCAACCACAATAGGTTCACATTAAATCCATATTTTATACCAATGTCTCTTTTATAAGAAATGTGAAATTCGAACCTAAGCAAAGAATTTCAAATGAGGGATGTATTCAAAACTACTGATATTTTGTATAAATTTGAAAGAAACTCATTTTTGGCAGGAAAAACTCTTTTGGTTCATAGTACTTTGAAATACATTGCCTCATATATTCAAACAAATCTTTTATCGCTATTCCATATCCTTTCTTCAATGTTTTTGAGGGTCGTACATTTTTTTTTTAACATGCCATTAACTCAATCTGGGGCGGTAAGGATAGACAGCTTGCTACCAGACCCAATAGTGATATCGCTCTTGGCTCGCAATCAAAAAGTAGGCAAATGTGGTGATTTCACAGGGAAAATTCCATGTCTAGGTGACATACATATGTGGAACTCTCAGTCTGGTTTGGATGCTCTCAAGAATGGTGATGTGCTGTCATATGCATCAGACACCCGACTGAACAAATCAAAGTACATAGGTAAATTGTGCATCAACATCTCAGATTTCTGATAGTGATTTGGCTTGGCATTATGAATAGGCGAGTGATGGAATCCAGTCTATTAATCACCTGCTGAATAAGATACATTTAGCGGAGCACTGTGAACAGAAATTGTGCACATACTCAAGTAGTGAATGCTGCACAAGACAGAGGGCAGGCAACAGATGAAAAGAATACAGAATAAACCAACCCAACAAAAACTTCAATGACAAAAAATGAAAATCACTTTGGAAATGTTTACGCAGCAATGCATCCTCACATGTGTTACTAATTATGCTAAAATTGGAGAAATACTGTACTCACTTTGGCACCCATATCAAGCAACTGCTGTATGAATGATACTGAATAGTTTTCGGTCTTGTTTGATGACCACACCTCAACAAATGCCACAACATCTGTGAAAAAGCAATATTCACTTAATAACAGATATATAGAATGCTACATTAACCCACATTTAAACATACAGTATGAAAACCCTTTCTGCACAAGAAATCTTAAAGCTCGATTAAAATTGAACCTATCCAACAGAAAAGTATTTTTTTTTTTAAATTGTGCTAAGTTATATGATTTTGTTTCAAGTAATGAATCAACAACAACAGAAATGCATGTAGTGCCCTTTATGCAGAACTGAGACTCAGAGCTCTGATTAGTGCCGGGGTTGGATGCTGGGAAGCGTTTGTGTGTGAGTGGGGGGGGGGGGGGGTGACCAAAGTCGTAGTCAAAACAACTCACTCCTCCATTCCCTCCCCATAATTTTATCTGGATAAAATGCCTTTACTACTTCTAACTGAATATACTAGTTTGTTCAAGGTGTCCCAGAAATGGTGTCCCTTCTTCATCCAAACCTTTCTGATGATGCAAATGATGGTGAGAACTAAAAGAGGAATAAGGGAAAGGTGGATACGTTTTGAGCAGATCATTTGAGCAGACAAACCCATTTTTGGTTAAGCTATGAGGAAATGCATATAGTAAGTTATGTACGCATTCAGCTATGAGGACCCGAGATGTAGTTGGGTGATAAGCCATAGAAGTTTTTGCTTTTGAGAACAAATTGGTGATGGCATTAGTGGCAGAAAGAAATGGCGGTAGTGGTGGTGGGGGAGCATGATTCTCCGATAAAAAGAATCATATACAATGTATTAGCAGCAGAACATTTTACGCCTTGGGACATGACATATCAAGTGACTGCCAGGATGGTGGAAGATGAACTAGATGGACCCTGGTTTTCTTTTTCTTTTTCAAATTCTTATGTTCTTAAATTTATGCCCCCTGTTACCAATTCAACAAAAACCTTCGGAATTTTGAATCTCTATCAAGTCTCTTCAATCTTTTCTGTTCTACTGGAAAAATAAGTTTTAGTTTTGCTGGCTGATTCTTGAGTAAAGCCTCTCATCACTGGTATCAATACTAGTGAATCTCCTCTGTACCCTCTTCACGCTCTTGACATATTTCCTAAAGTGAGGCGCCCAGAATTAGATGCAAGATTTTTTTTGAAGCAGAACCTTGATCTCCATTGTTATAAAAAGCTATAGATTGACGTACCTTGGAGAACAGATTTTGTGTCGCAATCACTGGCCATTCTGCCGTTCACTGTATTATCAATCCTGATCACAAGTGTTCCTTCAAAGATCAGCTGAAATAAAATCAAAGATGTTAGGTTGTCACTGCAGCACACAGACTTCATAGGCCATTAACTGTAATTACCATTTAATTTCAACAATTAGTGAAACATTTGAGTCATAAAATATTATACCTCCGAAATTTGATTGCATTTTCAGAAAGCATTAGAAATCTTTTTTTTCAAAAGGTAGCACAAATCCCAAATTGAAATAAGATTTGGATTTTTGCCCTCATCTTTTTCACAGATTTTTCTCTTTCCTTTCCTTACAGGATTACTATCATGGGTCAAAGACTACAGCTTACCAAACAAGGTTGCTAGGAGTATGGAACTATTTATTTGCGTCAATGGAACAACTGGTCCACTTCCTGAACCCACTGAATTCTTAAGTGATGAATTGCCACTTGGACTTGCGCTTGAAAGATGAAAATAGACCACCGGAATTATGAGTGCAGCTATAGTTTATTCAAGGAGGATTTTCTCATATGGAATATATAGGGGGAGGGAAAGCAAAAAATATAAATTCCAAACAATCACAAAACCCTGATTTCTGAATAATAGCATTATCCTAAACTGGCTCATAGTTCATCTCGTTTTCCAGCTTAGTGGGGACACGGTTTACATTGTTTGGCAATTCATGTTGGGAGAATGCCTCAAAACGCTAAACACCAGTGAGCGGGCTGTGCACCCGAGTCGGTGGTGTGGTGAGGCCGGTGGGGGGCGGGGAAGGTGGATAGCTGAAGAGGATTAGGAAGGGGAAGGAGTTGAAGAGGGTGGTGAGAAGGGGAAAAACGAAGCCAGGTTAACAAAAAAGTCTTGAAGTGGGTTTTGAAAATGGGGAGAAAGGGAGAGATAATTTTTGAAAGTTATCTCTCTGTGCTTATTGAAGATAGTCATAACTCAATCTTGTGTTAGGACAGCATACAGTTAATAATCCTAGAGACAGATTTCCATTGGCAAAGGAGATCTGCAGAAAAGTTTGGGCCAGACGATAAGAGATGCAATTTGGAAAATAAATGTTGCTGGAAAGAGTTCAACAAAGAGTCAGTTACATGACATAATCTGTAAGAAGTATCTAGCAGAGTTTGAAAGAGAATGTAAACATTATCTGAATGAATCGGAGGCAAAATTTATTTCTCAGTTTAATCACTTATGACATTTGATCAAAAGGTTAATGTGCAGCATCAATATTTTAGTCCTCTAGTGACACCATTTACAAAATCTCATTTAAAAATTAAGGCTACAGTAGTACAGAATTTATCACATGGTGTGATAAACATTACTTTGCTCCAAAGGCTACCTATATGGTGAATGGAGACACTTGCAACTAACTACTTGAACCAACGAAGTAAGACTAGCCAATTTTGATAGTGTTCTAAGTTTATATTCTCTATGTTGTCTTTTTCAGTATAGCTGTCATGTTAAGTAGTTATCGTAGTTCCCAGACCTACCAAGGAAAAAAAAGTTATTTGGATCCAAAATTAATCAGTGAATTTATTCCAACATTCTTGGTTAAAGGAATTTCAAGCTAGCAGTCAGATACGTAGGAAAGAGCAAGAGCACTTCTGTAAAAATGGATTTAAATATCTGTGCATAACCTTAAACAAGCTATGACGCAAGTTTTAATATTTCCCAAAATCTTATATGCAAACCAAGTGCATGAAGAGAAACATGATTTCACTTGCAAAGAAGAATGTTATGAATTGAACTTGTCAAGAAATAAAAAAAATATTTCATGTTCTATCTTTCCCAAACTGTACATCATATGGTACAACAAGTTGCACTTATATCGTGCCCTCCATGCAGGGCAACGTCTCAGGGCGCTTAACACTGGCAGAGCCCAACCCCGAGCCAGGGGGCGGTGGCCGTAAGCACGGGCGAACAGGAAAGTTTTCAGGCGGGACTTGAAAGAGGGGAGAGAGGGGGCAAGGAGGAGGGATTGAGGGAGTGTTCCAGAGTTTTGGGGCGTTGTGGCTGAAAGCACAACCTCCAATGGTGGGGAGGAGGATGCGAGGGCTGAGCAGGGGTGGGCTCGTCTATGGTATAATCAGCACTGCAATCACAAGGATAAATAAGAAACAAAATACAAATTCAGAAAGTTGACACCTTTCAGAAGCATAAAGGCAGTGAATGTAACCCTCCACATGGCAAGTTCCCAATCTCAGGAGTGCTACTACAGTACTAAGGATTCCCCAAATGAAATAAAAATCACAAGAGCCATCTCGGATTGCTCTCACACACCTCCTGGTGGCAGTTTCTGAACTTTACGTACAAGAAAGTAAAACGATTTTAGTTTTGTGCTTTTTTTATATAAAAAGATGGAAAGGGAAAGTGTGAGGATGTTTGCAGTCAATCTGGAAACCACATCCCATACCTGCTGTTCTAAATATCAAAAATCCTCACACTGAAGTTGTTAAAATATTAAAAGCAATCAGGCTTGATATTAGGCTGCGTTTCGCTCACAAAAATATAGCCAGTCACTTTACAGTATATTCTGTGATGCGCTTTGAGACATCTCAACGACCTGATAAGGTGTTATATCAAATGCAAGGAATATTATTATTGATTAATAAATTTTGTAGACTTCAAAACAATGTATACTCCCTGAACATTAAGCAGAATTTCAAAGGAACATAAGATCAATCTAACCATCAATAACATTTTAAACTTCGCATCATGCTGAAGCAAATTAACAAAATGTTAAGGCAATTAACCCTACTACCCTCAAGTATTCTTAAATCAATTAACCACAAAATGTAAAAATTAGTCAACTAGAAAATGTCATCCAAACAAACCAGCCAGAGAATTATGTATGATCATTACAAAATAAGTTTGGAAAAAAAGTAAAGAAAGTGAAAGAAACAAGCTGACTCTTAAAAGAACATATTGAAAAACAATTTCAAAATTAAGTCTGCATTTAAGCATTTGCCAAATTGTGAATGCTCTAAAATGCTGCATAAATAGAATAAATCTAGACCTAGGTGGAATGAGGTGATACGTTTATTCAACACTAAAGCCAGCTCAGCTGGCAAAGAGTAGGATAATTTTAACAGTGGTTTGATATTGATTTAAAATAGATCTGAGTAGTCAATTTACCCCCATAATAATAATCCTTGCATTTGGTATAATGCTTTATCACATTAGAAGGACACTTCAAGGCGATTCACAGGATTTTCAACATCCCTGGGATCTTTAACATCCCTTGAACATGCAGACAGGACCTTGGTTTAACGCCTCTTCCAAAAGACAGTACCTCCGACAATGCAAAACACCCGAGCACTGCAATAGAATGTTATCTTAGACTACGTCAGTCAAAGTCCCAATGTGGGATTTGAACTTATAACCTTTTGACTCAGAGATAAGAGTGCTATTCCTGAGCCAAGTTGCTTGCAAACTGAGAAAAAAAAGTTAAAATGAAATTTCCTTCAAATGAGGGCTCGTCTAGAATGCACATAATTGGTCTATCCTAGAAATTTTACTGGCATCCTGAGTGCAATACAAATATTGAACAAGCAGTCTGCTCATAAAAGTTTAAATATGTTTACACCGCCTCACATTTAAATAGAATTACGTAAAACAGTGACTTCTGATGGATATTCAAGGAACTAGCTTACCATCAGTTAATCTTATGTTTAAAAACAAATTAAAATCAAGTTACAAAACAATTTAATAAAAAAGGTTGTCACATGGTTTAGTAAATGAATCACCCTTAAACAACTTGATTGACTCCAACTTGTGGAGTCCTGTAACTCAGTGGTTAGAGCACTCGCTTTGCAAGCAGGAGACCTGAGTTCAATTCCAGGCAGAGGGCGAAACCTTGGGAAAGTTTCCTTACTCCACACAGAGCCTAAAATAATCCCTCCAAAAACAAAAACAATAATAAATTGGTCATTTTCAATCTACGACTGTTTGTGGGACATTGCTGTGCGCAATTGGCTGCCGCGTTCGCCCACAAATATACAGTCAATTCACTTTACAGTGTGTTCTGTGAAGCGCTTTGGGACGTCCTCCCGACGTGAAAAGCGCTATATCAAATGCAAGGATTATTATTATTATTATTATTGATTTGTGAATATGGGAGACGGGTCAATTACAAAACTCAAGCAAAGTTTTAGTCGAAGCAAAAGCAAAACGCAAAGCGTAAAACTCCAATCGTACTAAATACATATTAATAATAAACCTTGCCTTTGATATAGCACTTTTCACGTCTTCTAGATGTCTCAAAGAGCTTCACAGAATATATTGTAAAGTGAATTGACTGCATATTTTGTGGGCGAATCGAGGCAGCCAATTGCGTACAGCATTGTCCCACAAACCGTCGTGGATTGAAGAGACCAATGTATTATTTTCTTTTGAGGGATTATTATGAGGCGTGTGGAGTAAGGAAACTTGCCCAAGATTTCACTCTGCCAGGAGTCGAACCTAGGTCTCTCGCCTCCTTAGCCAGTGCTCTAACCACTGAGCTACAGGACTCCACTGTATATTAAATACAGTTAATATAATGTTCTCTCATAGAGTCAAACTTCAGTTGCCCCAGTTGTATTGATGATTGCTGCCTGTCTAAAACCCCATTTATACAGCTGGAAAGCATGAGATCAATTTGAGTGGATGTATATGGTTTGCTCAAACTAAACATTCAGTCAATTTGTTGGATCCACACATGTAAAGATCTAAGTCTGGCACTCAATTGGCTGCACTGTCACCCGAGTTTTGAAGAGGGTCACACGATACACTGTAAAGTGTGGTGACTATATTTTGTAGGCGTACGTTTCTTTCCAAATGATGCCATAGAATCTTTAACATCTACCTTAATGGGTAGGAGGGACCTTAGTCTCACCTGAAGGACAGCACTTTCAATAATGCAGTAGTCCCCCAGCACTGTCCCTTAGGGTTCCACCTGTAACAAGTCCATTCAATCTGCACAGAAACTACTGAAATGCTAAAAATACAGATAAGTGACACTATGAATTCCAATGGGACTTCCCCCACCCCACCATCCACACTCAACGCACACTCACCAAATATGCTTGGATTATTCCAGTGACACCGATGTGTATTAAGGTTATCCAAGATTGATTACCTTAACTGCAGAAGATATGTTCACCCTAGAGGATAGATGCTAATCAAGCATACAGGGGCCTCAGCTTTGTGTATTGAAAAAGCCACTTTCATTCTCATTTTGGCAAAACGCGCAGTTGAGCATTTTCTAACATCCAATAAGAATAATCAAGTTTGCCGTGGAGCTTACTTTTATATTGGAGGTTGTGTAAAGGTTAAAAGGGCACATGCTGATGGTAGTATTGATCACTCTATAGTATTGTGCATTTTAAATTGTGATGGGAGGATGGCATGACCCCTTATATGCAACATATGATGCTGAAACAAGGGTGTAAATCATGAAAAAACACAAATAGAGCTGGCTCGAAAAACACATCCATGCCTGTCAGTATTAGTATTGCCATTTATATCATTAAACCCAGTGTTTTTAACCTCTTTATCGAATAATTAACTTTCTCACTCTGTGCCAGAATAAATTTTTAAACATGTGGTATAAATATACTGTATTATAAGAACTGCATGATATGATTTATAACCCAGCCAAGGTTCTAGCCATAAATCACTTGCAAATTTGGCACTCAGAAGCTATCAGGTCAGTGCACTTGTGGAATATAAACCCTGGGTTTTTGTGACTTACTCTTTATTTATAAGGACCAAAACTTGTATTAGTAAAATATCAGAAGTACTGGTAAAGAGTGAGTAAAAGCCAGTTTTGCTTCAGGATTCAGAAAAGGTTCACAAATTATTTAACCTTCACCGCCTGTTAATAAACTACTTGAGTTTCAAAGTTTTTGTTAAGATGGCATCAGAGCTCTGACAGAAGACCTAAATCCATTGCAAGTAGAAGGACCATAAACTCTGCCAGCCTGACTTCCCATATTTTACAAAAAAAATTAACCTGCACTTTGGCTGTAGGTCCATTTCACAATGCAAATTACATGAACAAATCATGAAGTTCTTACTGTTTAGTAACATAGTTTGGGATCCAAAACAAAGTATTAAAGAAGTCCTAGCAAAAGCCCTCACTGTACTGGAGAACAATATCTCCACACGAAAAAAGGCAGTAATCTAACCAAGACAACATAGTGTGCAGGGCCAAAGCTGAAGCAGCTGTAACAATTACAATGCTTGTATCTGAATTAGCAATACAGTACTAGTCTGAAATTACACCAATATATTCCTTACTTTTAAATGTATATTTGCAGAGATAAGGGGGTGTTTTGAAGTTTTGGTCAATTCCACTGCAGATATTTAGTTAGTTAATAATACCTTCAACAACAAAATTGGATTTGTTTAGCACTTTTCACACCGGGAGTACGTCCCAAGGCGCTGGAACGTCAGTGTTTCGGACTGGGGACGGGGTCAGGATCGGGGAGGGTGGAGGGCGGGGTGGGGGGAGAAGGGAGGGTGATCAAAGGCACGGTTAAAGAGGAGGGCCTTGAGATAGGTCTTGAAGATGGCAATCTATGCTGAATCTTTAAGACTTACTTCCTACGTGATAAGGCGCCATAAATATCAAATGCAACGATTAGCAATAGTTAAAAATTTCTACCTTTTTTTCTTTTGAACATAGTGACACATCATCATCACGAGCTCACTGAAATGCTATGTTTTTTTATGCTGCATTGTTCCTCTCTCCTTTTAAAAAAAAAGTTGAAATTATAATTTTGTCGTATAGAAAGGCTCTGAACACTTCACAAAACACTAACCGACAGTGAGAGGGGAGGGGTGAGAAAAGGGAAGACCCAGAATCACAAGCCAGTTAAAATTAACACAACAATTTGCATTAGAGTGCCCTTCACATCGAATACTAGTGGCAGGAAATATACACTGAGTGGGGGGAAGGGGACCTTTATACAAAGTGGAAGAGGTAGGTTTTATAGTGAACCTTGAAGATAGATAAATGGGGGTGGTGGGCAACAATTTGTATTTATATAGCATCCTTCATGCAGGATACTGTCTCAGAGTGCTGAACTGGAAAACAGATGGGGGGGAAGGGAGGGAAAAAGAGGAGGAAAACACATAATAAAAATAATAATCTTTGCATTTGACATAGCGCCTTATCACGTCTTCGAGATGTCTCAAAGCGCTTCACAGGATATACCGTAAAGTGAATTGACTGTATACTTTGTGGGCAAAGGATCACTGAGGTCCAGAGCTCTGGAGTTTGTGCTTGAAGAAAAATGTCTGGTGTGCGGAATTTGTTTTCAAAACCTTAAAAAAAAGCGCACCTCATTACCTTAAAATAAGGGCGTTGTTATCACATCCACATAACAAAAACATCTGCTTTAAAGGTAAATGGAAATCTTAAAATATAGGTGCGCATTAAAAAAAACAAGATGATGTGAGGGTGACAGGAAACAGTGGGGCCTGGGCTTGCCTTGTCCAGTAATGTGTGGGTGGAGGGGTGTATGGGTGGGGTGTGTATTGGGGGTGTGTATGGGGGGGTATGTATGGGGGGGTGTATGTATGGGGGGGGTGTATGGGGGGGGTGTATGGATGGGGGGGTGTATGGGGGTGTGTGTATGGGGGTGTGTGTATGGGGGGGTGTATGTATGGGGGGTGTATGTGTATGGGGGGTGTGTATGGGGTGTATGGGGGGGTGTGTATGTGTATGGGGGGTGTGTATGTGTATGGGGGGTGTGTATGTGTATGGGGGGGGTGTATGGGGTGGGGGTGTATGGGGTGTATGGGTGTGTGTGTGTATGGGGGGGTGTATGTGTATGGGGGTGTGTATGGGGTGTATGGGGGGTGTGTATGATGTGTATGGGGGGTGTGTATGATGTGTATGGGGGGTGTGTATGATGTGTATGGGGGGTGTGTATGTGTGTATGGGGGGTGTGTATGTGTATGGGGGGGTGTGTATGGGGGGGTGTGTATGGGGGTATGGGGGGTGTGTATGTGTATGGGGGGGGTGTATGGGGGGGGTGTATGTGTGTGGGGGGGTGTATGTGTATGGGGGGGTGTATGTGTATGGGGGGGTGTATGGGGGGGTGTGTATGTGTATATGGAGTGTGTATGGGGGGAGGGGTATGACTCCCACTCGCTCCTCCAGAAGCTCGAAAGTTACCCAAATCCAGTAAAGTTGTCCGTCTCCCTCCCTCTCTCTCTCTCTCTCTCTCTCCGAGTCTTATTTCATTCGCTGAAGCCGTTTCGCCGAGACCCCACAAATAAAGCTGCACAATAAAAACCGCCTCAAACCACAACGATCCTCTCCTCCCCCCTCCCCCTCCGGACATGGCAAACACGCAGCTCATTTGGGGATATTTCCCCCCCACCTCCCCCTTCCGTACAACTACCTCCCTGACTGCCTCAGCCACACACACGCGAGTCGTGAAGTATACTTAGGTTAAAAGCCAACCCCTCAGACGGCTGGTGGCGGTGGTGGGGGCGGTGGTGGTGGCGGGGGCTCCGCTCGGCTCCACTCACTCACTCACTCGCTCTCTGGTCGCTTCTCCTCCGCTCGCAACGACCGCGATTCAAACATGACGGCTCAGCCCGCGCCGCGCCGCGAGGCATCCTGGGGCCTCGCGCCGGCGCCGCCAACCGTCACCCCGCGCGCTGGCGGTCAGCAACGGTCGCTGCGCGCGGTGGCGACGTCACTAACGGTCGCCGCAGGTGTGCCGGCGACGTCACTGATGATGAGTGCGCGTGAGGGGCGACGGTCACTGATGATGAGTGCGCGCGTGGGGAGGGGGGGGGGTGAGCCACGTCACCAACGGTCGCTCCGGTTGGGGATAACAGTGACTAACGGTCGGTCGGTGTCGCGCCACGTGGAGCAATGGTCACTCCACCCGGAGGATGGACACGTGTTGGTCGTCCGACAAGCGTTGGCTTGAGCCGTCGCGCGGTGGATGGCGGGTACCGGGAGCTCCTCGCCAGCCTCCCCCGGTGGGCAGCGTAGGGTCACCGCGAACTGGGCGAGAGCATTGCCGCCATCTTCCCGTCTGCGGGTCGCAAAGTAATCACGGCCGGGCTCCTCCCGCAGCCAAAGAGGTGCCTCACGGTGCGCGGCTGTGACCGAACTTCGGTACAGGCTATTTCTTTAGGACGTGTGCTTCACTGTTAGGTCAGTGTTATTGTTAGTCCTGTGGCTCAGTGGTTCGAGCACTCGCTTTGCAAGTGAGAGACCTGAGTTCAATTCCAGGCAGAGGGCGAAACCTTGGGCAAGTTTCCTTACTCCACACAGAGCCTAATAATAATCCCTCCAAAAAACCAAAAACAATAATAAATTGGTCATTTTCAATCTACAACTGTTTGTGGGACATTGCTGTGGGCAATTGGCTGCCGCGTTCGCCCACAAATATACAGTCAATTCACTTTACAGCATATTCTGTGAAGCGCTTTGAGACGTTTAGAAGACGCGAAAAGCGCTATATCAAATGCAAAGATCATTATTATTAACCCAACAACAACCCGCCATTAATAGCGCCCGCCATCAGAGTTAGTTACATAATAATCCTTGCGTTTGATACCTTATTGAGACGTCTCAAAGCGTTTCACAGAATATACTGTAAAGTGGATTAACTGTGTATATTGTGTGCGCAGCGGTGTCTCACAAACAGTCCTGGATTGAGCGACCAAATTATTATTTATTTTTTGAAGAAATTATTATTACCCCCGGCCAAAACGATCTGCCGATCAACTCACAACCGGGTTCCTACTTACTGCTGAGTAAACATTATTAACGCGTGGTTTGAACAATTGTTTGAATTTCTTTTGTGTGAACAGTTGTAGTTCCTGGCAGGTACCCCTTACTCTAGGTTGTGGTTGCTGTCATTTTGAACAGTATAAGAACCATTGAAGGACAGAAAATAGCCTATAGATCTGTCCATCACAGCGACGTGTAATAGGGCTGGAGAATTCATTGAGAAGCATTGGCTGCAAGAGGAAAAAATCAACTGCCTTTGTGTGCACCTGCATTTTTGTCTCCAGGTAACATTTGATTGAACCCGATTTAATTAAGCGTTGCTTCGATGCTTCGCTGCTACAGCCATGCCATATTACTAGTGATCTCACTGCAATTAGCTCGTGGATGACCTCAGAAATATATAATAATCTTTGCGTTTGGTATAGTACCTTATCACATTTTTAAGACGTCTAAAACCGCTTTATATGAATATTATAGTTACATATAAATATTTATGTTGTGTGTGTGGATATATGATATAAATATACACTATAAATTATAAATTATATAGAAGTTATAATAGCTTCATAGTGCCATGGCATCTTTAGCATCCACCTGAGCAGGCAGACAGGACCTATGATGTGTCCTGTTTTGCCCTTCACTTTCAGAGCTACGATGTTCTTCTGTTCACGAGCATTTCCATCACATTCTGCTTTGAAACACTTTTGCACTACTGCATTTGAATGCAAGTTGTTGTTAATGTTGAAAATGAAATGTTCTGTAGACATTTTGGAAGAACTAGAGTTCTTGTGACGCGATGAAATTAAGACCTCTATTATTTCACTTGACCGTGAATGGAAGAGGTACAATTCTCCCTGTGAAAAGTATTCAATAACATTAACACCTAGAAAATGAAACCAGGCCCAAAAGCTTGGAACAGGTTGTAATTGGGAGGGGGGTGTTACTTGAAAATGCTTAGTGCATAAAATCCTCCACTAATTTCTCGAGATGCCCTCATCCAAGAATATCTGTAAATATATCCTGACGAAGTTGACTCACTTTCCTTTCTCCATATATGCTGCTGACCTGCTGAGTTTTCCCAGCTCTCTTTGTTTTTGTTTCAAATTTCCAGCATCTGCAGTATTTTGTGTTTTATCTTTAAATATTTTCTGTTTCTGTGTTATTCCAAATGGAACAACAATTTTGCATGTTGGGGGTGTGCAATGAAATGCTTTGTTTGACCTCTCAAGGCACTATTTAAGATACTAATTGGCAGCTATAGCTCAGTGGTTCGAGCACTCGCTTTGCCAGTGAGAGACCTGAGTTCAATTCCAGGCAGAGGGCGAAACCTTGGGCAAGTTTCCTTATTCCACAAAGAGCCTAATAATAATCCCTCCAAAACCAAAAACAATAATAATTGGTCATTTTCAATCTACGACTCTTTGTGGGACATTGCTGTGCGCAATTGGCTGCCGCGTTCGCCCACAAATATACAGTCAATTCACTTTACAGTGTGTTCTGTGAAGCGCTTTGGGACATCCTCCTGACGTAAAAAGCGCTATATCAAAATGCAAGGATTTATTATTATTTTACTTTTTATTTTATTTTATTAATTGTTCTCTTAATGGTGTGAATAAAATGTTTGGTTATATGTCAACTCCACAGGGGCGTTGGGGGTGACTGCAGGTGTCAGCAACTATGAGGAAAATGCAGACCCCAAGTCCCTAATCAGCCATCCATTCAAACTAATCGGCTCATGAATAAGTGATACACAGAAGGCTCTCAAAGTGAAGATATAAGGTTGGGGATTGTGTGTTCAACTTTTCATGCAAAAGTTATTGTTTGCATATTCACATCTTACCAACACAGTGCCATTGTCTGTTTCCATAGCAAAGTTCCTGCATTCAATGAACCATCATGTGAAATGCATTATGTTACACACTTCCTATGCCTCACAAAGTACCATGGTTCATCGACCTAATCATTTTTGCATTTGATGTTGCACCTTTCATGTCAGGAGGACATCTCAAATTGCTTCACAGGATTTACTGTAAAGCGTAGTGACTGAGTATTTTTGGAGGTAATAAAGCTGCTAAACAACAGCAATTTGCAATCGTATCATATCCTTCATGTAGTGTAACATCTTGGAGTGCTTAATAAGGCCGTGCTTGATAAGGTCTTATTAAAGCCTCCTCGAGCATCGACTCCCGGTCCACCGATGTTCTATCGGCTTGTCTGGCAGACCTCAGGGCCTGGATGAGTGCAAAATTCCTGCAGCTGAATGTGGACAAGACAGAAGCCATACTCTTTGGCTCCCGTCAACATCTTCACTCCTGCGGATCTGAACTCCTCAACCTCCGGGGGCTCTCCCTCAGACTCACTGAACCAGTGCACAACTTAGGTGTCCGGTTCGATTCCCAGCTGTCCTTTCTCCCCCACATCCAGTTCCTGACTAGGACTGCCTTCTTCCACCTCCGCCCCATTGCCCGCCTCTGACCGTACCTTACCCCAAACGCAGCCGAAACCCTCGTGCATGCATTTCTCACCTCCCGTCTGGATTACTCAAAAGCACTCCTCAGTGTTGGGCAGCAATTGGCTACCCAATTTTGCCCACAAAATATACAGTCAATTCACTTTACAGTATATTTTGTGAAGCACTTTGAGATGTCTTGAAGATGTCTATATCAAATGCAACGATTATATATACAGTTTTCCCATCCAGTTACATACATGAGGTGTGAACAGCATAAGGACCTGACTGAGCTGAACCAGGTGTTTTGTTTGCTTTGTTCACTATTTCAAATGCAAGGATTATTACTATTAATCATGTTGGTCAAAGAATTTGAGTGAATGTACGAATTGTACAACTCACAACAATTTCTATTGTGTTCTGTTTACCACTAGAGGTAGCTGTTGCAACCAGAAAGATTGTGCAGGCTCTATAAATAGCTTCTTTGATGTCAGACAAAAAAAGCTTTGGTTCTCGCCTCTGCGACAACTAGCGTATCATTCAGAAAGACTTGATTAGCATATCTCCAATAAAACTGAGAATTGACAGTGTTTTAGTGTGAAGGCAGGATTGTTTTTGCGGAACGGCAGGCTGAGCTATGGCTAAGGTATGAGCTACATCTACTCACAAAGGGGTTCTTTTGGGGTTAAAGCAGGATGTAAAGTCAGTATCTTAGAATATGGTCATTCTGCACTGAGCTGATTGATGTTTGTATAGCATTCATTGTCCTGACAATGTCAAAGTATTTATTTGAAAGAATATTCAATCCACAGTGAGGGGTGGGGGTGTGTGGGGGGTGGGGGGAAGAATGGCCATGTGAAAAAGAGTATAATTGTTCTTATTTTGAAGAAAGGTGGTATGTAAAGAGACAGAATATTTTTGTTTATGTGTTTTGGCTGATATATGAAAGCTTCAACTTATTAAACAAACTGTACTGTGCAAATAAACATCATTTCTGTGTGTCTGCTTTCTACTGCTGTCACAAAAGGTTCACTGAAATTAGGTGACTGTATGGCGACTAATCAATAAAGTTGAAGCATTCTTGAAAAATATTTACACAAAAGAATAAATAAATAGAACCACAACCACAGCAATGTAAGTGTCAATTTCAAAATTTGCAGGATTCCTAAACTAATTCCATTTCTTATTTAAGGAATACTTCTGGGTTCTGCTCCATGTCTCCCGCCCGACCCGTCCTACCATCGGTGGCCGGGCTTTCAGCCTCTCTGCCCCCACACTC